TTTTTGACCCGCTGTTTGAAGATCCCCCCCCCCCGACTGCCCCCCCCCCCCCCGTTGTCACCATTTTTGACAGTCTTCCTTTTTCTTCTCTCTTTGCTCTATCCCCATTTTTAGACCCACTAGGGAGGGGGGGGGTACGGTGATTAATTTGAAACACAGTATTTTTTGCCTTTTCGGTATAAATTATATACCCAATAGGATATTTTTCTTCTCTCTCTCTATGACCTGAAATCACTGCATTCTAAACCCTTGATATTTAAAATAAATCCCCTGAAATAATTGTTTTTAACATGGGTTAAATATATTAAAGAAATATGGCGTCGGAGGTTTAAATCACGTTCGGAATTCCATATGCAGTTAAACCATGCGAGCACAAAGCGCGAGCCGAAATGTTTCGATATAATGACTTGATAATGTAGAGAGGGTAGGCAAAGGGCGTGGTTCCATGCGCGTAGCTAGGATTTTATTTTAGGGGGGCGATAATGAGCACCCTTTGAGTGCGAATCATTTAAAGAGCGCGCAAAGCAGGGAGGGGGTAGTTTCCCCGCGCGAAGCGCCGAAGCTCTGAAAGAAGACGATTCTTTGTACTTTTCTCGACTCTTAATCCTTGTCTGAATTCAGTCTCTCTCTCCCCCCCCCCTCCTGCGCGAAGCGCGGAAGCTTTGACGTATTATTAGACAAAGAAGACGATTCGTTGGACCTTTCTCGACTCTTGATCCTTATCTGTAATCAGTTCCCCCCCCCCCCCCCCCGCGCAAATCGCGGAAGCTTTGACGTTTCGTTAATTTATTAGAGAAAGAAGACGATTCGATGTACCGTTCTCGAATCTTAATCCTTATCTGATGTCAGTTTCCTCCACCTCCAGCACGAAGCGCGAAAACTTTGAAGTTTCATTAAATTATTAGCGAAAGAAGACGATTCATTCGTTGTACCTTTCTCGACTCTTAATCCTTGTCTGAATTCATTCCTCTCCTCCTGCGCGAAGCGCGGAAGCTTTGACGTATTACTAGCGAAAGAAGACGATTCGTTGTACCTTTCTCGACTCCTTTTCAGTTGAAGAAATTAATAAAAGTAGGCCTACTTGAAGAAATCGTTGAATTGTAAGATATTCAGATTTTTTATATTAAGTTAAACAAAGTAATAGGTGTTAAAATAACACACATTTAACACCTTTGGAAAAAATAATACGCTAGGAACGCGAAAAACAAAACTTTTATTATCACACATGCCTATAATCGGACATTTAAAAAACTGAAATGTGGCACCGCCCAAAAAATAAAATTCTGAGATCCTCCTTCGTCTTTAATTTGCACCTGGAAATAAATTGTTTGTTCCTCGTCTATGTCATCGCAGCGAAAAAATTTCAGACTTTTCTTCTTTTGAGGAGCTTTCACATGCAGCCTCAGACAAATGTGCCAAAGAAGTTTTCTCTTCTTGTGTTCCTGGAAACAAAGTTTTGTTGGCAATAGTAACGTTAGACAGTCATAACTCACATCCTATGAATGAATCGCGGTTAATGGAATGATATTTTTTTCTGACCACTATAAAGAACAAATCATACGATATCATTCCGCCTACATCAGATCTGATTAAAAAAGGGCAATGAATTATTTTAAAAAAAATTACTTGATGAAGTCCGGGGAGATGAAGATGTGCCTGTGATGATCTTACTCCAATGCAATGCAAGGCTATAAGCCCCCCTCAATCAATCTCCCAATATTTATAAACTGTCAGTTTTAATAATAATTTGAATACTAAGTCGATCTGTAGATTATAGAAACGCATAAAGCTTCTAGCCCAGAACATAAGTGTGCAAATATATTTGGGGAGGGCGGGATCAATGATAGCCTATCCGAGCCCGAACAAAATATTGGGAGGGGGTGGGGGGGGGGGGGGGCTCGATGATATCCGAGCCCCTCAAAAAATATCAGGGGGCTCCGTGATGTTATCCGAGCCCCACAAAAATATCGGGGGCTCCGTGATATTATCCGAGCCCCACCAACAATAATTGGGGGGGGGGGCTGATGATATCTGAGTCCCTCCAAAATATGGGGGGGGGGCTCAAAGATATCTTAGCCTTACCAAAATAAGGGGAGGGGGTGCTCAATGATATCAGAGTCCCGCCAAGAAAATATTTGGGGGTCTCAATTATATCCGAGATACATATATTTTGGGGGGGTCAATGTTATGCGAGATCCGATGTCTGAGCCCCCCCCCCCCCTCCCCAAATAAATATTTATAAAATGTTTATATTTGAATGGTAAGTCTGTAGATTATAGGTATACATGAGTTTCATGCCTAGAATATAATGATAGGGGAGGTGCGGGTTAATGATATCCGAGCCCCGCAATAAGTATTGGGTGCGGCTCAATGATATGTGAGCCCCACTTAAAATAGTGGGGGCTCAATGGTATCTGCGCCCCTAAGGACTCAATGATATCTAAGCCCACCACAAAATTGGGGGCTCAATGATATCTATAAGCCCCGCCAAAAATATTGGGCGGGGTTCAATGATATCTGAGCCCCCCCCCAAGATTTTTCATTGGGGGGCTGTGCCCCCGCAAGCCCCCCTCCCCGGTTCTTAAGCCTATGTCTACGATCACGACTGAATCACCATGGTATCACCGATCTCTAGCTAGCTCTAGCTCTAGCTATAGAAAAAAAGATCGGTGTGTGTTTCTATGGCATGCAACGATGGGTATGATTGGTCAACATTAAACTAACGGTAGTGTGTTTTACTTACGTTACTGAATTACTTAGACAGTTGCGTTAATGAAAACTAAAGAGCTTACGTAGGTAAAATAATCCCTAGAATGAGTATACGTAAGCTTTTCATCATTTGACTAACGTAACTGTTTAGTAACGCAAGCACTACTCTGTACAATCATTGGATACTAAGTGTACGTTAGTGTTTCCTTATTGGTTACGTTACTAGTTAAGTTTATGGCGGGGTTGGCCTTCCATAGCGCTCTGGTAAAATGACCTGCGCCTGGTCACACATGTATCTACGCGTTCACGAATATACAATGAGAGAACTGGCATAACAAATGCCATTTTACAACAATTTACTAAAGTTGGATCTCGGCCCACTTTCATTACGTCGTATTATCAGCTTTATTAGTCATAAAAATGAATAACCACAAACTTTGGTTTTCTTACCGTACAAATGATACTGGATTGGAAGAAAATCACTGCAGAATAGCGGACTATGTACAAGATTATGATGTTGATTCGATACGAATCCCGTTGTTTGCAACAGGACAGCTGATCACGGCGAAGGTAAAAATGGACTAGAATTATGTCCCGGCATGCTTTGCGATGAAACAACCGTGAAGGCACGTATTCTGCAAACACAATGCAATGCGCAAACGTCACAATCACGCTCGCGCCACGCACAAACTTGCATCCAATCAGCTCGCAGTGATTAACCGATTTTGAAGTTTCGTGACGTCACAATACGTTAGGCGCAAGTACTGTGAGCGTAAACGTACAAACTTTCATCCAATCAGCTCGCAGTAATCAAACGATCTGAAGTTGTAAGACATCACAATACGAGTTTGTTTACTGTATTACGAGGTGCTTACATAATTTGCTTATTATGTTTTCTTTCAAATAAACATAAGGATGCTTGAATATTCTGATGATATGGAATCTACCATTTGACTGTTTGAATCTAGTTTTCATTGTATGTGGAATTTTTCATAATCTGAATGCGATTTATATAGCCGAGGTAAAAAGTTATGGCAATATTCGAATAACTCGTCTATTTATTTAAGAGTGAAAATAAATGGTTTACCTTCCAAAGTGAGGTCCATCATTGTGTTCTCATTATCACAATTATTCATGTCATCTTTCGATGTTATATTAGCTAGGAGAAGGGGCCCTATATACATGTATACTGAGTGGGGCCGTGGAAAAAGCCAGAAAAACTGTTGTGAAATACAGTAAGACACATTTCTGAAGCAACTAGAGCTGCGATTGTATAGTCACCAATAATACTACACCAAATCCCTAAAATGTATTCATACCCCCCCCCCCCCACCCCCACACACACCCACACACAAAAAAGTCTTGGAGAACTGACTGGCTCGTATTACTAAATGGTATTCCCGGAAGAATAGAAATCATAGTTATACCAGTATAGGTCCATGGTTATTACACCAGGGCATTCTAAACCTTGTTATTATCAGGAGAAATGTGTGCTTGTAAAAATTAATGTAAGTGCTTGTCTGTGGTCTGTAAAAGAGATTTATTTTTTTATTTTTGTTTCTGATTTGACAAACTGAAGACAAAGTTATGTGATAAAATATCATCCACTTTACATAGATACAATATATGATCACAAAGCTATGTATCAGCAGCTATTTTTTTTATAAATGGCGACCATCTTCATTCACGACAGTGTCAATTTAAGAGAAAGAGGGAACAAAATCAGTCCATATTAATTTAAAACAAGTTTGCTGTTTGTGTGATGTTAACGTAAAAATGCAAACGATGACACTGCCTGGGTTTTGTGTTGAATTTTAAAATATTATACAGACCGGGGAGGGGGGGGGGGTGTTGAAAACTTTAAAATCACTAGCATTATTGATTTAACCATCTGTGCATGCAGTGTCATTAAAATAAAAAGTCCTTGCCTCTGTCAACTGTTTTCTTTCGCTTGTTATCTTATTCTCCTGACTATTTTACATCAGTTCTACCAGGGAGGTATTTTAACTCTCATATCCCTGGTTCTATACCCCCCCCCCCTTTTTTTTCTCTCTCTCTCTCCCTCTCTCTCTCCTCTCTCTCTCTCTCTCTCTCTCTCTCTCTCTCTCTCTCTCTCTCTCTCTCTCTCTGTTTCTCTTCTTCTCTGTTCTTTGTACGTCACGTGTGTACATCGATTATATCCATAACCATTTCCTTTTTGTGAAAGCAGGAAAAAAAAGTCATGACTAAACAGGCCTGCAGTATACGAAACAAAGATAACACGTCATTGTGTCAAATTGCATTGTCGATCAGCTGTGCTCTCATTTGTTTACATCTTCACGAACCCGTTCTGGTTCTCCATGACGGGCACATTGCGCACCGCATTGTACAGGACGATCGACTGGCGACCCCCCAACTCGCTCTTTGTTGTATTTCGTAATACGTTTATATGATTTCAGCGTACGGACAACGGGCATGTTGAGGGGGAAGCGCAGCTCAGCGCAGGAGAATCTACTTAGCCTGGCCAGGAGAATGACGTACGGAATACATGTATGTTCTGTAATACCGGTTTTTTTTTGTGTTACATTTACAATTGGATAATTTGCCATTGCCTGCTTTCATTCTGCCCATGCCACGAGTAATTCTGAGGAGATTTATCGCTACTGCTTTTATAATACTGAGTGTAAACTGTGGGGTAAGTATACTTTTTAATTTTAAAGATACAAATTTTACAATGACCAGTGCAGGATGACAAATTGCAATAAAAAAAAGTATCAACGTTATTAACCATGCTGACACAGTTTAAATGAGTAAAGAATGAAATAGAATACAACATTATTATTTTGAAATATAAATTAGGCTTCGACTTATCACAAGGTTTCATGACTCGAGTAAGTACCAATTAGTAGACCTTGATCTACTGTAAGACTAACTGACTATAAGAGCAATATAATTGGGCAACTACAGTATAATCGATCCTGGGCCCTGGCCTGGCTATGCTAATGAGTATAGTAACAATTAGGACTGAGGCTATATTGTTGTATTGCAAGCTTAAAATTGCACAAGTCATAGTTTAGCTCAGATGTAGGACTCGTATAGTTTTATAGGAACAACAGCAATCCAAGTTGCACAGCTAAATCTTAACCATTCTTCCATTTATTCTGAGAGAGATTTATTATATTATTGCCCATAAATCAATTCAATTTTTCAATTCAATTCAATTCATTTATTTTTTTCCTCTTTCAATCGTTCATATTTACAATGATGGTATATTTTAACATATTCACATATTTATATACATATAGATCAATTTGCACAATACAATACATTAAAAAATAAACATGAAATTGAAATTGAATTTCATTGAACAACAGGAGAATGGCGAAACTACTGGGGATGTGTACCATCGTGATGGTCGTGCTGGTAACAATCGCAGCACTGATCAGCGCTATGGTCCTCTCCTACTTCACAGATCCAGTGCCATACGATGGACCGCCCCACCCTCGCGGTGACAGTCCCCCTTACCCAGGCGCTACGGCAGACAACCTCTGGTGGTTTATACACGTAAGTATTCACACCTTTGCTGTTGTGTGTTAATCCGTTTGACTACTGAACTCTCTTATTAATACAGGGAACACTTGGTTACAGGAGATATTGGGTTAACTCTTTAATTGTGACCAGAAGAACAACAGGAGCGCTGCTACTGCCTCCTTTTTTGAAAGTGCAATGTGCCTGTACAATACACTCCAAAAAATGTGGTTATCCAGGGTGTAGATCTGTGACAGAGAAAGAGTTAACATATACCACTCTCCGTCGATCTCAAATACTAAATAAACTCAGACGAGGAGACAGTGGTAAACACTCTATCCCTGAGCTACGTAGTGTGTTAGATCGAGGCCCCTTGTACAGAAGATTACTAGATTAAACCGACTATTTCCATTATGAATACTACATTCTTTTTCAAAAGGGTAAGGGGGACTCCCAGTGTATTGTACCAGGATATCCCAATCAGTTTTACCAGGAGTAGACAACAAAGGAGTATGGTGACTAATTTCACTTTAACCCTCTCAGCTAGGCTTAGGTGACAAGGAAATAATTGTGTTGATAATGTAAATAGATTTTACACTCAGGATGTAACAGGGGGCCCCCTAAAAGTTTCTTTTTAAATAGAAGATGGTATGGTTTATGAATAATAAAAGAGTTACATATACAGGGGTCAAAGTCCAGAGTTCTTGATGCAGCTTCATGTTTGTGTGTTTTGTAAACTTCTGATACACAAGATTCTAAACTAACCAATTCCAATGGAGTCTATATTTGGGCAGGTAAATACACATTGATAAAATTCAGAGGTCAATTAAAGGCCCACTGCACTACTTGTATCTACTTGCGCCCTCTTACAACAAACAATGCCTAATCGGTGACCATTGGTCCCCCATGATCCTCTTTTTCTTATGTTAACTGAGACCTGAGTTGATGAGATAACCACCTGTCCAGTGACCTTGTAGGGCGCTCTAATCCCTCCTGTAAACTATGGCAGATAAGCTTTAAGGTCTTTCCATGTGTTAATATATATACTGAGGAGGAGACAATCCTGAAGCGCAAAAGATTACGGTACTTGTTGACATGTAAGTGTGTATGACTGTGGGTTATCAAAAAATATGATTATTCGTTTCTATTCTCTAATATTCTATTTCAACATGAACATACCTATGTACTGTGCAATGCCATAAAACTCATTCTTTATGGCCCTTTCAGCTATCAACTCAATTAGGGCATGTTCACATTGTCATTGAACTGCTTGAACTCATGTTTACATTACCTGCACTTCTCCACAACTGATTATTTTTATTTTTGTCTTTCTGAACAGATCTCTGACATCCACATATCCCGCTTCAGAGACCCTCAAAGAGCAACGGACTTCAAACAATTCTGTGTGGAAAACATTGATGTCATCAAGCCTGAAGTCGTAGTTGTCACAGGTAAAAAGTCAAACTTTAACTCTTTGCCTGCCTTTGTAGAATAATGAAACAAACAGATGGTCTGCCATGGTTGACTTTTGTCACACACGCAATGTGTACATATGATAGAAAACTTCAGAAGGCACAATCCATCTGCTAAGCTGCATATACTGGTAAATCTTTACATTTACCACTTGGTATTTACTGGTTGGTATCTGGCTATTTTTATACTGAAATCAAGGAAATCTGATGAATTCTGTTTCATGGCACATATCGGAACTATGCAAAGGCATTCTGCATCTGTACCTGTTATCGTTTTAAAATGACACCTCTTAGCCTACCACCCTACCCTCAACATTCGTCTGATTCATCATTATGCAGGCACCATCTCTATACTTAATCTGCTGTGCATGCACATTGGCCGCATGTATATATATATATTCTCTTCCTACATTTTACTGTCAAGAGAAATTGACGAAAACTACTTGCCAAATGTATCTTTCTCTGGTCTCTCTTTTGAATTTCCCCTCTAATAACCTGAAGGAATGGAGGTAACAATGATACTACATGTTTATCTACACAAGTACACTGTAATGTATTTGCTAAACATTAACTACCGGGTAATATGTAAACTTCTGAATTTCTTTATATATTAAAAACTGTACAGTCTTACAAAAACGTATTCAGTGCAGAAAAAAAGTTTGTTTAACGATTTAGGCAAGCCCATTATGAGCATGGGAAAACAACAATGGGATATATCGTCTTTGTTATCACAGGTGAAAGCAAGATGTATCATTGCACAATTACAGAAAGATTCAAACCTGCTATTAGGCTAGTTTCTAACTGTGATATCTTTCAGTGTCTTATGAACAGTGAATAGATGAATTATTCATTACAGTGCAATACATACCTGTACATTGTATATATGTTTGATATATACTTCACATGCTTGATACATGTATATTTCAAGAACATTCAAGTGAAGTTATGATTGAAATAAGGAAGAGGGAGAAAAAAATTCAATGTTGCTAAATTGAAGAGGAATAATCGTGTTTGACTTTATAGAGCCTCTAATGTCATCAATATCAAATTTCATGTATTAAATCACATTTCAATTATGATAACTTATGCTTGGTGAAAGGAAAGAAAAAAACAAGATGAAAGTCACTTTCAGTTTTGATAACATTTCCACAAGTACATATATAGCCTACATTCAGACTACAGAAAATTTATCCCAAACTCGTGTAAAGAAACGTTGTATGACGAATCCCTGATAACAAAAGGAGCATACAGAATAGAGAACAACATTGTATGAAGTACTTATTTTAGAGAGGTCAGGTGACATGATGAGTGGCCAATTAACAGTGGGCACTCATGATAAGCCCCGCCCAGCTATTCAATTTTCATTCGATTACCGTAAGCATTCAGACTAAAGTGAAACCCTGATTCTTCATCGAGTTTTTGTTCGGAACGGTGCTCAAACATGTGTTTTGCTGTACAACATTTATTTATATGACGTTCCGATTAGAAACAAAACATTACTACTTATGTATAGCTATACAATAAAGTTTGGTAATCTGAACAGGGGTCAGATACAACAGCTTTGAACAATATCATTGACAACGACCTATGCCTTATCTTGCTCACATGACAGATAGAATGACAGCTGAGTAATAAAGGTTATCGACAATGGGTCATACATCACAACTATAATGCCCCATTCACTGGGTAAAGTTTGTTGACACTTGGCCAAGCTGGGGTCAACAAACTTTTTTTGCCAGGTGGGTCACATGGGATGGGATTTGACCTATGACTATGACAATAGACATGAGTGGTAGGTCTCATGACATCCTGTTTCCATGTAGTACAGGAACAATTAACATCCTTGCTATCAGGAAAAAAAATATTTACAGGTGATGGATTGAGTTCTTTGTAATGATCAAAGAGAAATTACGGCCTTAATGAAGGCACGGTCCCACCCATTCAATATGATAATTATAATTAAAATTAGGTCATTGATTATGATTGATTACATGCTCTTGTGATTATAATGAAACAATGCAGAGCATTATCCTCTTCTGAATGTGGTATATTGTATGTGTTTATTATTCATGTATGCAATAACATATAATAAAGAAATATGTAATAAAGAAAAAGAATAGAGTGGTTTATTTGAACAAAAGAATATTGTTCCAAAAAATTATATTAGCAGTCAAGTGACTGATTTATAAAGATTACATTAGAAAAATATTTTTGATGTTGAAATGATTGCAATGAATTCATTATTGACTATCAAAAAGGTCTGGAAAAGGATATATATGAAAAATAGAAGTACTGGTAGCTCTGGTAATTTGTTGTAAGATTAATCATTACCGGAGTGTTGGCTCAGTCAGTAGAACGTCCGCCTCACAACCGGGAGGTCGTGGGTTCGAACCCCGGCCGCGTCATACCAAAAGACGTTAAAAGATGGAAGTTGTTGCTACCTTGTTTGGCGTTCAACAATAAGGGATAGAGCAACGTCGATCTGGCGCTGCTCAGTGGCTGCCGGGCTCACGATCAATTGGGCAAAAAGAATTTCCGTTTCGGTTTAATAAAATTTGGAGTGGACTATTAGGCTATTATTATTATTATTATTATGTAAATCTTTCAAAATTGTATAGTGGGAGGAAGGAGTGAAATTGTATTGGATTTGACATTGGACTTGGAGACCATGGTACTCCACATTTTCAGTTTCACACTGTTGTTACACAAACATCCACATGTATTTTGATTTCTTCTGACTCATATATGAAGTTTCATTGAGATACAATGATAAAACCGTTCTGCAGTGTATGATGTGAATCATGTGAGCATAGATTTGATACAGTGGTTTTTAACTACCATTACATGCACATACGTCAGCAGAAATTCATTACTGATAATTCACGTGTGGAAGAGCCATGGCACTCACTAATGACTTCGTTTAATACCATTCATGGACCATTTCTCAATACGTACGATAATGAATGAAATTCATCCAATGTACAGTATTAGGAGGATGTCATTAGCACAAGCATAATAGTCTTATGATCAATTGGCATTTTGAGGTCTGTGTATTTGAATATTTCTACATGTACCTAATAGAAGTATCATAACTCTTCTAATCTAACTTGTCCAATATTCATCAAACTTTCATAAATTAATATAATCTTCTGGTATTTTTATTTCCTTTGCTGCCAAGTTTGTTTTCCTTGAATTTTATTTCATATACTTATTCACTTTTTTCTTATTTTGAAAATTTCTTTGGCTAACCACCAGTAATAAATCATTTGATTCACCTGTTTTGTACGATAGCATTTTGGATGGAAGGCACCATGTTCTCATCAATTTTGGCAATGTCAAAACAAACCTTTAGGCCATCAAGAAATTAAATTACATTAGTTTGTTGGTTCAAAGATGATCAAGTTACACTTGGCCTGGACTCTTGCTCATTTTCTGCAGGTGATTTGACCGATGCCAAGACGTACGACAACATCGGTTCAACACAGTTTGAGATCGAGTGGCAGACGTACCAAAACACGATCAAGCATGCTCGTATTCCGGAGAGAACTGTTTGGTTGGACGTCAGGGGAAACCATGGTAATAAACATCGTACTCATATATTTTTAATCAATTCTGGAAAATTAAGAGTCCATGACTTGACTGATTTCTCACAATGATTGCAGAAATCAAAAACTGTCTTGATCTCAAGAGTTCCTAGATTATGTTCTATCACTGGATTACTAACAGTGATGTAGAAGGAGACATAGAACATCTGTTTTGTTTGATCTACATTTTTTCTTCTTCAGTATTGTCACGGACAGCCCTAGACAATATTCCAATAAAGATGTAGATCAAACAGTAGGACATTCAAAAGAGCAATAAAATGCTATGTTGTTGGTATTAAAATTAAAATAATCTGTGGTGTGTGTGTGTATTGGGTTTTTACAGACGTGTATCAATCAGATATGATTATTTACGTCTGGGACCGACCTTTAAACGTCACCATCCGAAAGACGTGACTCAGTTTCGAACCTGCGTCCTCGGCTGAATCAGTTTGTAACTTCCACTTTTTAGCTGGATTACAGGCGCACGCCACAACGCCTAGTTGTTTACATCTTCACTTTATTAATGTGGAAAGGTCAAGTTCTAATGAGTTAGAAAAGTAAATAACCTTTAATACAGTATGCAAATTGTATTCAAACTATTCCCTCTTGACCTGTGGTTAAAGTTCTTTCTTAGGATATACATGTACGTGTATGTAAAAACAGAGTCGTGAACCACATGCTTTTCATACATTAAATATGTGTACAGACCTATAATTTCATATTTTGATTAATTTACTCATTAAATTTCCCCCTTTATCCCCAAAGAGAAGGGCCCCCTTTCCATTCAGACTGATAATATCCGGCTTCATTTTGTTGTATGTTAATACATGGATCTTAATATCAAGTCAGTCAATAGTTCACGATAGTAGTATCTATTTAAGTTGTAAATGCTAACTTCTTGGTAAGGGGGTTAACTATTTACAATGCAAATGCTAACTTCTTGGAAGGGGATTAGGGACTCTGTTAGTATCCTTAGCAAATAGATCTCCCATTATTGACTCATTGTTTGATGTGCCTTGGGAGAAAATCCAAGCAGAAATGGCAATTAAATGACAGATGTTTAGTGATCCATAAATATATTTTTCTAAAAATAGCTCCCTTTCATCTCTCTATATGCTTATTTATCATAATTATAATTATAATACATTATTCTTTTCAGATGCGTTTGACATTCCACACACCAGACATGATTCAAATTACTATAGGTGAGTTCTAATGGATGTACTTTTTCAAAAGAATATGCCAATCAATGTCAACCAATTCATAACTATTCTTAATTAAGACACATTTTGTTCAAAATTGCTTTTGATGATTAACTTACTCTGTTCACATTGATGTATACTTCATATGTATTGTAATTTGTAGGTTTATTTGTTACTTTTTGTTTAATATATAACTGTTTGTCATTGTATTTTGTTTGTATAGCACTTAGAGACTTTGAGGGAAAGCACTTTATAAGCACCATTTTATTACTATTATTATTATTTATTATTTATCCATGTAATTCATCTATTTCATATTATCATGCATTCAAATCATGCATTTTCCAGAAGAAAATTAATAAGTGTAGAGCCACTCTACAATTTATTCAAACACAAGGGTTGCCAATTTACCAATGTCACGTGTACTGAGATCGGATCTCTGTTTGCTTTCAGATGCACTGGAATATGCCTGAATTGAATTTCATGCTTGCCTGATTTTAATTTCCATTGCAACAGCATGCATACATCTGTATAGTGCTCATAACCCTTAATTCTTTTGCTACAGGTATAACTAAAACCAAATTACCCATTATATATCAATCACCATTAAACTGGATTTTTTTTCACAAACCACATCGTGTGACTACAAAAGAGTCCTTGCCGTATGACCGATGCTGAGCAGGCGAGAAATGTAATTAGAGTGCAAATTTGATCATGTGAGAAAATTAAGTTACATAGACCTGGGAAGGCCGAAATGCTACATGGCATGAATATGTGTCTATGTTGGAGAAGTTTCCTCGTGCCATGATGAAAATTACTCTGGAAATTGGTACAAATTTCTTAGCTTTAAGATATTCAATGTGTAAAGATATTGGTACAGTGTCATTGGGAGTCTTCATTTTTCAACGCAAATAATACATGTACATTCTTTAATATGTGGCTGTACACTGCTTTGGTTTGTAACACCATGATAGCACTTGATTAAGTTGATTTGGTAGAGACTTTGTTGTATCAGCATATTATGAGTCAAGGAGCAAAGGTGAAAATGTTAACAATTGTATTGCTGTGAACAATTGGTGATTATACAGTATAAATGTAAACAACCATCATTTCAAGTTTATCTTTTAAAGTTATTTAGAGACAAAGATTTACTGCAATCTTAATATTCCATGTTGAGTACGTTGACCTCTGCTTGCATGTATGTAGTATGTGATATCATAACACGGCAATTCCATATAATAGAATGATCATCCTCTCACACCAATCATCAATTAATTAACAAAGAAGATTGCTAATTAGTAATATTTACCCCATCTGCTTGTTTATTCATTCACCAACAGTAACAATTTTTTGTCTTTTATGAATATTCATAAGATATCTCTCCCTTATAAGAAGGTTGTATCTATGAAAGGTTAGAACTTCCTTCTCAGCAGTATTACAACAATCAGTGAAAACTTTTTTTTTTAAAAAACCCAAACTACACAAACATTCCCATAATTAGAAGACGATTAGAATGACTTGTCTCACAATGGAAGAAAAAGAAAAAAAAAGTGACGAAGTTGCAATATATGAAAGAACATGTTTTGATAATTTGGTCTCTCCAATCATTCCAGATAAAACAATGTTCAAACTCTCTTTATGATAGTGTTAATTTTTGCTGTTGATCCCATTGTTTTCGTTAAGCTGCATGTGGAAGTGCTTAATGCTGTGGAGATGTTATGGTTTAGTGGTTCATTCAATCGACTCTCAATCCAAGAGTTGAGGGTTCTAATCCCAGGCGGCACTAATATCCTGGCAATTGCTTGGGTAATTGAAGGGGCCTCAGCAAGAATTATTATGATCTACATGTGTATGGTATGCCAATATTACACATTTATGGATTAAATAAGAATTAAAGACCATATGACTGATTTAATTCATCTTTTCTTTCCCGCTCTTTGTAGGAAATATTCAGTTCTTCGGGAACGAGGAGATACAACGTTCATGTACCAACACAAGACTCCGTTTGGGACCTATTCCTTCATTGCATTATATGCTCTGCTGGATCCAGGTCCAAAGAGACCCTTCAACTTCTTTGGATCTATGCCTGAGGTAATACACATGTTGCCACAGAAATGATAATTTAACCCATGGACATCTGAATTCTCTCATTCCCATAGGCTTTTATAAGGATATCAACTGGTTGATGTAGGCAATGGGTTTAGTAAAAATGTAAAGATATCAGTCTTATTGCCTTTTGAGAGGACAGTTTAGCATGCTGGCAAGTTTTGTCCTCCCCCTTTGTTATAAAGAGGGGAAGTTGTAACATAAATAGCTCCTTCTTCTTTTTTTGAATAAACTTCCTTAAATGAAGGGAATAATAGCTTGCATTAGTGTCTTTATGTTTTCAGTCACTGATCTGTTTCTTTGAGATGAAGTATGAGAATCAGTGTTCAAGGTCTGTTGGTGTTGATTATCAAGAAATAACACAAACTGAAAGCTATTTGAAAACAAAATGGAATCTTGTAGATAATGAGAGAAATATATATAACTTTGTTTTTCTAAGTCCATTTGGCAACAACAAAAAATCACAAATAAATTTTGTTCTTCTCTTTCACCCCAAAAATAAATATTCTATTAAAACATTACCAACAGGTACCAGTAAATGTACTCTTGAACCAGGAGAGAAAACTTTCAAAGATGTTTCACTAGCAGGTACACTACTATCATTGAAAATGACTTGATCAGAGAATGTTTCTCCTCTTACACACAATCAGGAAGAGGTGGAGCGTCTGGAATCCTACGTGTCACAGGTGGAGAAGCAGAGTTCCAACAACCATACAGTGTTCTTTGGTCATTACCCGTCCTCTACGATCCTCACATCTCAAAGACGACTCACACAAAGCTTGAGGTAAGCTCTCGTCTTTGTGGGAAATAGCAGCACAATGCGGTGTTCCCAAAGAGTTATACAGTGAAACCTGTCTAAAAAGACCACCCAAGGGAGACAAGAAAAGTGGTCTTTATAGACAGGTGGTCTTTATTACAGGTGCCTACAGTACCGGTATATGTTTCAATGAGAAATCATTTCAAGGGAAACAAAGAATGTGGTCTTTGTAGACAGGTGGTCACTAAAGCAGGTTTGACTGTATTTATGTGTAATAACCTGTTTTATAGGCTGGAACTAGCCTCCCACAATATGAAGTCCAATACTATTGAGTAGCCTGGAGAGTATTAGCTCCCTTGCCTATAAATTGGTTAAATGGACCCTGAGTCAAAATAGAGTTTTGTCTTCAGATTGGGAAATTAAAGGACAGCTCCAGACACAAACACACACACTGTTAAATATATTTACACAATGCGGCAGATAGCCACAAAGAAGATATAGAATTAGTCATTAAACCATGAATTGACTGATTATTATTGTTATTATAATTAGTCTATATATTTAAAAAAAAAAAATTGTTATGAATTGATTGTCATTCCAGGAGTGGTATAGCGTACCTGTGTGGTCATCTACACAGTCTTGGTGGGTTGGCCAGACACATGGAAGCGACGCAGAAAACGGGGTCATTGGAACTAGAGGTGGAAGACTGGAAGATAAATAGAATGTGAGTACCCTCTTCTTCAATCATTCTTTAAAGCCCCAATGCACTACTTATAGCTACTTGCGCCCTCTATACAGTACAGCAAACAATGCCTAATCGGTGCCTGTTGGTCCCCCATGATCCTCTTTTCTTACGTTAATTGAGAGCTGATTTGATGAGATAACCACCTGTCAGTGACCTTGCTGTGTGGTCTAATCCCTTCTGGCTTAACTAGTACAGCCGGCCTTTAAAGGCATTCAGTAACATTATTTGTGATACAACAACAACAAAACAAACAAAAATCAGTGACAGTTGCAGTCATAATGTGAAGCTTTGTACTATTATAAATGTTTTCTGAGTTATCTGTCAATCACTCCTTTGGTGTATTAAAGACTGCAAGACACTGGTAAATAGAATGTGAGCAAACCTTTAGCCATTCTTCAAAGAGGAATATTTAAACACACTCTGGCAATTTTATTCTGATATATGAATTGACAATCATTGAGACGTACTCATTTATACTACAATTGTATTGTATAATTTGTTATTTTATATGTATGTCTATATTTTTTGTAAAATGTGGAACAATAAAACTTGAACTTGAATTTGGAGCTCAAGGGCAGGGGTAAGATATTGGGGTTATCACATGATGCTTCCTGAGACAATATCCATTGGACGTCTATCATTAATATTGCTCATCATTCACTTTTTTTTTCTCTCAAAGGTATCGTATAATGGCATTTGACCACGACATGCTGTCTTTTGTGGATGTAAAATTGAACGAGTGGCCAGCCATTGTTATCACCAATCCAAAGAGAGCTCGATTCATGGCACCCAAACATGAACCGGTCCATAAAATGATGCATTCTACCCACATAAGGTAAATACTTGTAATTATTTTTTTCTTGGAGGGATTTTTTTGTCACCCCTTGTCGTCTTAAATTACAAAAATTTAGCATTGTGTCAGGTGTAATTCAATTCTTTTAGGGCATCAATCTGAACCACTCGCCCATGAATATCAGAGAATGAATAATAAATTAATAAACAAAACAAAGGTAAACCGCCGCTAAAGAAAAAGAACTGCCGTAAAAACAATGAATAAAAAAAAATTACTTCTGTTTTCCTTCAGCCAGTAGATAAATGGCAACTGTATTCTCTGAGTTCTGTGCCATAAGATACACAAATTTGAAGCGTATTACACTTTAGATCATCATAATAAAAAACGCAGCGGTTTTGCCGCATTATATCTGAACGAGGCCTAAATGTTAGAGGTCACATGCCTAATGTGCAGATGAATGGAAAAAGAAGAAAGAAAAAGGGTTTATCCCAGTAATAGTTGAATCTGTTATGTACTGCTATGCAGATATTGACACATATACCAGGCTATTATTTGATCATGACTCAGGAACAGGAAACAACCTCTTTGATCTGTGCTTCTTCCTTCCGAGTTCTAAAACATCAGTATTACAGTGTTATGATAATTAATAACAGAAGCTACATTTATATTGCGTATATATGCCTAGTATGTATCCATTCCGGGGATGCTCAAGGCGCCTACAAAGTAGTAGTATTATCCTTGCTTTAGCCCAGCTGTCCTAAGGGCGCTGAAAGCTGCGTTAAAGGAATAAATTCCTACCAGGTACACATTTACCACACCAGGGTGGAGAGTGGCAAATGTAGATTAATGTCTTGCCAAAGGACTTTAGTATCGCGGTGGGACTCAAACCCTGCACGTGATTTACAGTCTGGTGACGTATCCACTAGATACCAATACTAAATACCAATTTAATTTAAAAATACCAAAGATCTAACAAAACTTTTGTCAGACAAAACCGGTGTCTAAATAATCTGATACCTCTAGAGAATTCATATCTGATGCTTCTTTCATTATGATATATCACTTTCTGAACAGGGTGCTAGTCTTCTCACCAGACCCCATCAAAGCAGTAACAATCAGCATAGACAGAAATGTCATAGGAGCTGCCAAACACGTAGAAGGCCCACTATACGTTTTACCATGGAAACCCGAAATTTACTCAAAGGGTCTTCATGAAATATCAGTCATAGCTGAGGCAAGTATCAACATTTCCCCAGAAAGTTCTTGGGCATTCGTAATCATTTGATTACATTCAAATAAGGTAGTAAAGCTCCCCATAGGTGAATTACCAAAGTTTTATTTATATGGTAGTCTTGGTAGATAATTTTGAATGTAACTTTTTAAAATTTGTTAGAGCATTGTATCAGGATTTTGTATTTTATTCAGTTATAGTCATTAGAAAAATCATTTGATTTGAATTTTGTATGATTCTATAGGATTTGAGTGTGAGGTCAAATGTAAAGCAAGAACTTTTTTCTCTTCCTATCAGCATAATCATCAGGCTTTGTTTTCCCTGCCATTTGTACTTTATGAGTATTCTCCTTAACAGGAATATACATATTTATCTGCTCATTCTAGTAATTCATGATGAATTACTAGTATTACTTATTTAAATATAAAAACTTTTTTTTTTAATGTGATATGATCTCTTTTGTAGGATTTTAGTGGGAGATCCAATGCAAACAAGGAGCACTTCTCACTCGATGAAAGCAAACCAGAACAATGGTTCGTGCCAACAGTAGTTCTTCTTATAGATATCACAAAAGCAGTAAGTCTCTAACTTTGTACCATTTATTATTCATCCCTTTTTTATTTTTTTCTCCAAACAACTTTTGTTTTTGACAACACATGATTAATACTGCATTATGTGGGATTTGCATGGCTTTGTATTTTCTTGTCTATTTTATTTCAGGTACTTTTTATAGAAAATCATTTGTTTATATGTCTAAGGAATTTGAGAGAAAAGGTGACCATTAACGGTCTGTTTAATCTTAAAATTATGGATGGTTATGTCTTTAAATTTTTCATTTTATTACGCCTGAAATTTATTTATTATCAATTTATTTTTTCATTTATATACTTTAATACATTGCCTTGTTTTATGCAATATCATATTACCGTTTGTTGTCTAACGTGGTTTGTATTTTTTCTACCATTTCAGTTTATGCTGTGGAATTTTATCCTGTTATGCCCACTAATACTACTTCTTGTTATGCTGCGTACACAAGTCAGAAAAACAGCTGCAGGTAACATTATTTTATCGCAATTTTTTGTTTCTTTTCTATATTTGTTAATGGAAATGGTATATCATTTTTACTTTGCTATGTGAAAGTTTGATAATTAGAAAGTCAAAATAACAGTTGTAAATAACTTAAAGAAATCTTGCAGAAGTATTTATATTATTCATAGAAAATAACTTTAATGGAGCACATTCATACTCCCACATCTACCTAATCTCTATCTTTTGTTCCCCTTTGATGCAGGTTTTTACCGCAGCGTTGTAGCAAGGGGCTTAATACGCCTCTCACACATGGATCTATTCTTCTATTCATTAATAGCAATGATGATCTACCCTTTTATAGGTAAGTAACTTCATCTGCATTATACATCATCATCGGTATACGGGAGTGAGGTAGTCCTGTAGGTCTCCCGTTCGTCTTCCAAGATATAAGTTGAATTGTCAGTTTGCGACTTAAGACGTAATGCAGAATGCATAGATGTCAGGTTATATGAAATGTCATACTGGTATTGTTTTAAATGTCTTTTTCTTCAAAATTGACTTGCTTAAGCAATATCTTCATATGTTGGCATATCTTTGTATTATACTCTCCACAACTCAGTCACGTGATCAAAACATCTGTTCATGCACTTTCCCAAAATATAACGATACTTTAATTAAGAATTACTTTTAAGATTATTTTTGGCAGTGTTAAAGTGATGATAATAAAGAGAAACAAGAAAATACCTTACCATATAAATCATTAATCCATACTTATGGAGGTCATTACATACTTGTATTCAAATTATGTGCATTGTTCATGTATGCTCTTGTCTTTCTAATGAGCTGGCAAAATATGATGGATAATGATGATATGATAATAATGATTATATTTTTAATAAAGGTACTAATGATAAACATAATGACAATAATGATAAAATTAAATATATTAATAATTAATAATGATAATGATAATGCAATAATGATAATAAATGTTCTGGATAGCACATATCAAATTATAAGATTACATCTCTATATATACTACCAAAGGGCTTTGAATATTCTTACCCCAGCTTTTAATAGCTTTTGAGTATTTGTGCATTGAGTATCCATGAAATTTTGTATTGGACTGACATGCGATATTTTATTTTTGTTAATACAGGTCCGTGGTGTATAGGTCACTTTCTGACCGGTCACATAGGAGTGTTAACAGCCTATGGTATATATGTACTAGGTGCCTGGATTCCAGAGACCTTTGGCATGGTTGTTACAGTAATTGATGTGAGTATATATTAAAATTCATCCGTTACCAAATAATAATAATAATGATGGTGGCTTCTCATATAGCGCACATGTCCGTCACGTTGTGGCGCTCCTGGCGCTGCCCCGATTATTACCCACTCGATCACGACACCTCTACAAAACTTAACCTGTCTTAGATGAAGTGGTCTTACTCCTGCGTTATCTCAATGTAATAGTAAAAAGCCCAAAGCCGGGGCTAAAATCTTGTAAAACATAATTGTTTTGAATTTGTGAAAGCAAATAGTAATAATAATAATAATAGGTAAATTTAAACAGTGCTTAATACTACATTTCTAAGTGATTTACATTGTAACTGTTATTACTCTGGTCATTGGATTCAATATTCTGCACATGATAGTGCACATGGTCTGCTCCAGGAGGGGGGAGGGGGGGGGTCTTCTAGCCAGCATCACCCTACCCTAATACACAAGGCCAGCAATAATGCAAATAATACAAATTCAATATTAAAAGACTATTGTGTATAATATACTTTCTTAACCCATTAAATACAGGAACTGGGTGACTCCCTTAATAAGCCTATTGGACCAAGAATATTCAGCAGTCAATGGGATTACAAATAGAAGAGCCCCTCAAAAAAGAGATAGTAGTTCTGAAGGCAAACATTGAAAAATACTGTGAATATAATCAATAACAGAGCATATATGTAATCCATTACTTGTTGCTTTATCGGGCAAGCCTCAAGCAAAGGTATATTGAAAGACATGAAAGCTAATCTGCGGCTCTCTTTTATATCTTCTGTCTTTCTCTCAACAGATTTCAGTGATCTACATCCCCCTCGTACTCTTCTGTGCCATCCACTTATCGCCCCCACCCCCTCACGTATCAAATGGGACGGTCTCGAGCTCGAATCGGACGGCCAAGCGGCAAAACAGCGCCCTCAACCTAGTCTGGATTCTAGTCAGTATACCGGGCATGCTCCTGGGTGCTCTATTTCAGTGCTATAGCCTGTACACGCTCTACAGCACGTACGGCTGGCTGGCGGTCTTTGTCTCCCCCAAGTTCCTATGGTCGTACGTCTGGTCGTATTATCTTGCCTATCGTTCGGTGACAACAGGACCAGTGTGGGTGCGTTACCGATCGTGTTAATGCGATGTAAAGTGTTAATTGTGTAATATCTGGTGCATTCCGTTTGTAATATGTGAAATTAATCAAGTTTTGGAAATAGGTGATCAAGGGAGGCCTGAATGAGGTGTGTTGACCAAATTGTGGTTTATGAACAATTTTAGTCTATTTTTCCATTCAGTGGAAATGGGACATGGTGTATGAATGATTTGAGCTTTAATTTGTTACATTGTTGGGATTGTTCCGACTGCCGTGCATCCCCGTAAGTTATTACCATTGTAAAAGTAACATGTACCAGTGCTGTTTTCCGATGAAATTTGTGTACAACTCATGTTCACAACTTCACGTTGATATCTCTCTAATGTTGCTGAATTAATTATAGTGCACTTTTATGTACTTCCAGTTGAGTGTTTTTGTACTTTAGTAGTGTTTGAATAATCAAAATATTTTGATTAAATTGGGCACCATGAGTCAATCATAGTCCTGTAAGTGTTACTGTAATGTTGCTGAATTTATTATAATAAGCTGGTGCACCAAGTGCCCTGTAAATTGACTTTGTTTTTACAATGATGTAAAATAGAGATCGTCTAATGCAAACCAAATGTGTGGCTTATTGCTGATCTTGTAAATGTGTGTTGTTGACCTTTGACCTGATAAATTGCAGATGGTAGATCGGCAAAGCCCATCATTCTGTCGCACACTACACAATCCATCATTAATAACAATTCTGGAAAGTGTTATTTGAGTTAATTATGAGATTTAACAAAAATCCCACATTTTCTGAGTCAAAGTCCTGACCCGCCATACAGCAATTGCAAAAGAGAGAACAGGATGTATGACAGATTTTCAAAAAAAATAATAAAAAATGATGAGCTTTGAATTGGTTTATTATAAAACCAGTCCTAAATCTTGTCTTCAGTTGATTGCCAATTTGGACTTTCCTCAAATGGGAAACCTTACAAAACCCCCAATCTTTTTTTTGGTTACCATCTACAATTCTACATGTATGTTAAAGTACATTCTTTTTGTGATGAGTCACAGCCAATAGGGACTTTTAGATTTGCACAACGACAACGTGGATTGCTATGATCGACATCCTTTTAATGCACTGCCTTGAATGGACGTCACACGTATCAGTCCACGCAAATCTAAAAGTCCCTATTAACCACCTATTCAAGATATTGTAGGGAAATCAGGGAGGTGGGTGGTTAATAGAAATCCCACCGCTGCCACCAGTGTAGCACAATATTAGACAAATTCATGTTTGTGAGTGCATTAATTAGTTAATGAGCACTGCATGCAGTTTAAAGTCACAATTGGATAATGAACAAGACTTCTTGAGTTCATCATCCGTCTTATCATGACTTTACAGAGTACAGTGCATATCACTAGTGCACAAGCTACAGGTACATAACAAGAAATATTTCCTTCATGAAACAATCTACAATATGAATATGAAGACAAAAGATTGACTACCGGTACATTGACATTGCGTCTTTGATTTTTAACCTTGCCATGTTTTCCCACTATTTGACTGTAGGCCTACAATGTATAAGAATTTTTACTAGTATGTATCTTGAATTTGTAACGAGTATTAATATACAGGGTGCTTTTTTAGGCTTCTGAACATGTGAAACATGCTTCACTATCAAAGAAAATTGATATTACTGTAGAGATCAAGACGGAGCATTGTGGTCTTGTCATAAACGCGATTTTGGTCAAGTCAGGTTTGGCTGGATTTCAATTGGTATAGAAAACAGTCACTCAGTCGTTTCAGCATCTCAGTTGTTTCAGCATCTCAGTTGTTTCAGCTTCTCAGTTGTTTCTTTTATCCATTTTATCTATATTAATTGTACATTGTTGTCGTGTGAATGGATTTAATGTGAAAATAGTAACAAATGCATACCCTGACTTGTTCCAAGACTCAAGACTCAAGAGAGAAAGAGAGTTTGACAAGTTCATGGTAACATAATAAGCCCAACATTGGAACTTGTTCGGTAATCGCATTAAGTGCCTCGCTCATTATGTATGCCAAATTTGGACTTGCTTGTGCTGCAGGATCGTCTGTTAAGAGCTAAGAGGGCAATAACTTAAAGTATACAAGTAAATGCCCTTCTGGCTCTCAACAGATACATTCAAACCTGCTTTAGTGACCACCTGTATAGAAAGACCACCTGTCTACAAAGACCACATTTTCGTTTCTCTTGAAATTGGTTTGTTGTTGAAACATGTACTAAAGGAGCCTGTACATAAAGACCACCTGCCTGTAGAGACCACTTTTTTGTCTCCCTTTGGTGATCTTTATAGACAGGTTTCACTGTAGTATATAGACTAATAGGTGAAATGCATGTGTGTGTGGGGGGGGGGGGGGGGGAGGCTTAGAGGTGGTGCTGTTGGATGTACACTTATCTCCTTTTGAATTAGATATAGATCTGTCAATATCAACTACATGTATTGACTTTTAAACAATTTCTACAAATATTACTTTTCACCCAAACATACAGTCTGTTAACATGTCTTTATTGAATTTATACTGCTATGTGAATAGAAGGGTTTTTCTACTGTTTGTTCTAAGAGTACTTAAATAGACATTCACATCATTATGCAAAATGGTGTTGATTGCACTTCTTTATTCTATATGCAAACAGTTGTACATGTATTTTAGTTTAATATCTTTCAAAGAATACATTTTGTATGATAGTAAATTATTAATATATAATGAAACATGGCATTATTGCCTTTGATTGTGAGTTTATGAAAATAAATGTTCAAATAGGCCTATGATTATGGCAAGCTGATTTTGCAAAATTATGAGGGGAAATATGCAGGTGTATAATGTACTTATAATTGAAATACAAGCATGTACAGTGATGTATATATTTATTAATGGCAACATTACAGGTATGTTATCACCAGTGTAGCAATATTTATAACTGCATCATCCAAATCCATACTCAATGTTAAGGGTCAATTTGGCAGGAAAGGGTACCCTCTATTAGGACTTGGACGCAAAAGCGAAAAGAATTTCACTATTTTTGTATCTGGATTTGCACTTTAGCGAAAAGTATGGGCAAGGTTTTTATTCGGAAGAATATAGTTACCCACCTTTGTAATGTTAAGATCTTAAAGTGGGAGCCATTTTTAGGGATTTTCCAACACAAAGTTGTTCCCCATATTGAGGGATTTTTTGAAAAAAAGTGTGACCCACTTGAAAGCCATTAGAGCATCACATCCCTGTATACCATTTTAGGCAGGCTGGATAGTATGTTTGGGGTCTGTTAAATATGTTAAGAATAATAAAGCTGCAATTTAAGCAAACCATCTACCTTTTACCTATTTACTTGATACATGAAGGTATATGTGTCGCAAATTAATGTGCTAATAATGTTCTTGTGTGACTGAATTTTGCGAAAGCTATTGCTTAAATAATGGTACGAGTTTTAAGAGAAGAAAAAGTTTTATGAGAAGAAAATGGCTGTATATATCCTACCGGAAGAATGTTGTGTGCCTCTTTCATCATGTTATTTGATTATTAAAATTTTGCAATATTTCATGTAAAAAACTTCCCAGTATTATTGGTGCATTTTAAGTTTTTAGTGTAGATCCAAGTTTTTACATATTCCATTGAAAAATGTTACGGTAGTAATATTTTCTTTCTACATTACATCATATTTTTAATAACTCAATAGTCAAATGAAGAAAATATTGATAAATGATAATGATACTTAATGATAATGATAATAATAACAATAATGAAGAAAGAAAGCATTAACTTCAGTCTTTTACAATGAGGAGGATGCTCAAGACAGGAAGAAGAGACAAGAGGGAGGAAGTGTCATCGTAAGAGGGAAAATGATAACTTTAATAAATGATGATGAAGAATGATAATAATTATAATGATAATAATGAAGATTTTAATATTAATGATAACATAATGATAGTAATAATTGAGGAAGGAAATAATAAACTCAAATATTCAGTAAGTAATGGAGATCTTGAAATATATTTCTGCTGAGAACCAGATGGTTACTGATTCATCTCTACTTCAGTTTTAACAAATTAAACACGAAACCCAAAGGGCATTAGTAAAGAACATTTCTCTCTAACTAAAAGTGAGATAAGATCAAAATGTTCAGTTTTGTATGTTTCAAATGAAATCACCACTACAAAAGTATAGAATTTAGAGGTGAAATTATACATTTTTAAATGTTTCTTCGGTGAAGCAGGATTAGTAGTTAATGTGAAATTGCAATTTAAATTATTTAGTATTTCATCGATAATAACCACATTTTATTTTACCTGTTCTGCTTTAAATTTTGTATTAAAATAAGTTTTTTTTAAACCCAACATAGAATTTGTTTATCAGTGTAAGCAATGCTCTCAATAATTGAAGAACATTTTTCTCTTACTAAAATGAGATAGATCTAGTTGTTTACTATTATATGTTGCCAATAATATCACCTCTAAAAGTTTAGAATTAAGGGTTAAAATTATATATATTGCTAATTTTTGAATGTTTCCTATGTAAAGCAGGTTTTGTAGATTTTGTGAAATTGCTATTTATTTTTGTTAGTATCTCATCAATAATAACCACATTTTGTTTTACCTGCTTTAAACATTGTATTAAACTCATAATTATTTGTTTATGTAAAAATGTCAGCAATGCTCTTAATTTTTCAAGAGTTGACTTGATGATTTGTGCAAATTACTTAAATTCATGATGGCATATTGCAAAGAAGGTAAGAATAATCATTTGAATAGAAATGTTACATAACAGTAGTGATATCTTCATTATTACAGCACATGAGAAGGCCACGTCAGCTTTATATAAAAATAACAAGTTGGAGTCATCAATAAATATTGCCTCTGTTTCTAGTAAACACAACGGTATCTCTGAAAGTCTGCAATCAAACTTGTCTGTAGAAAACTTAATTGTTTTCAACTTTCCATGCACATGTTCTTGCACTCGATCTCCTACTGAAAATTGCCAGTGAATAAAAGAAAAACTGAATTGATGAAGAAAAGTAAATGATTAATCCTAGTTTGAACACTCTGTAATAGTGCAATTTCTCTTTGGTCAAGAACATGATGATGTATGTGCCATATTTATAAACTGATTACAAGCGTCCCTTTACGCATCAAATCTTAGCCACTTTTTCTCATTGTTTTATTTCTTGTTGTAAAAGCATGGCAAGAGAGGTAGAAGGAAGAGAAGACAGAGTGAGGGAGGAAAAGGGAGGTAGTTATATATACAGAAAGAGAGAGAGAGAGAGAGAATTAAGGGGCACCATCCAGCACCTAATTTTATCCTTACATATATTTAAAATAGTAAAGGGACAATCATGCTGCAAAATCTAATCAGTAAATTAGACATCATAATTTCAGATTGGTTTTAAAGAATGCAATATAGTAGTTGGTACCAGCAGAACAATTCTGAAGATGAGAACACTTTTTGGTGAGGTTTCTAGCCCAGGGGGGGGGGGGGGGGGTGGGCGTAATCAGATTTGGTTTGGACGGGGTGTGCCGCTCGATCAAGCCTCGAAAACCCTTCCCACAGTTTTCTTCGGGAGTTTGCATGGCGAACACCCTAAAATTGTGATCATTTGGAATTTTTTGATAAAAAGGACCCATGTTCAGTGATGTTTGTGTAATAAATGGGATCCTTGTTAAGGGTTTTTATTACTAGTGAAAAAGCGACCCAATTAGGTCGGCACATCCCCGCATGTGATTATACTTCGGGCCCCCCCCCCCCTGATTTTGTGCATAATTTCAGAAAATCACATGAAGAGACCCACATAAAAGATTATAGATACAATCCATAAAAAGCATTTAACAACCATTTTTATTAATAGGGGGAGCAGTGCCATGAGCTCTAGCCTATATACTTAAATTTACTGTAGTTGTCTTTAGAGATTAAAACCTTTTTTGTGGCTATGTTTGGACTGACATTTCTGCAGAATAACGAGCACAAAGTGGGAAATTCATACAAAATATTGAACAAGTATTGATTCTTCAGTAGCCTTTCTCATCGCCTAATTTATATATTTATCAACAATGAACCAACGTCTCGATATTTAGCACCTGTCATTTTGGCACCCAACTGAGCTGGCGCTATGCAGTTTATAAACAAACTTATAACAGCGCAGCTACCGTACCGTACCTCTAACTTTACGTGTTAAAAAATCTTACGTTTTCTGTATTTTCTGTACTAAAATCTCTTCTTCACAGCTTTAGAATGGCGGACGATTTTATTTTCGACTTTCTTCACATGGAAATAGTCAACTTTGTGCAGAGAACAACAAGCCCAGATGACAAGGTAAGCTTCTACAACAATTATATTTTCAGATTTAGACTGCCGAGACTGATCTGCGATGCAGTGCCACTCCCACCCCTAGTTTTACCCGCAACTGCTGGCGACGCGATGTCCTAGCAGAACAGACATTCGCAGTCGGTAACTGATGGTGATCCATCCCATTTTATACGGGGATGATGATGGTTGCTGATGATAATCATGTTGATGAAGATATAATTACCATGTTAGAGTAATATTGGGAGGTGAATGGAAAGGGAATTGTTGTTATTGTAATCGTTTTTCAAAATTTATTCTTTGAAAACATTATCTCATCTGTTCGCAGATTCTTATTCTGCAAATTGAAATTGATGCCCGAGGCCGAGGCTGAACTCTGAACCAGTTAAGGCAGCTCAAAATGTCTCCTTGCCTCTACCTTTGGCTTTAGCTGGCAAATATAATCTATAGAGTATGGTCAAGCTGTAAAGTTGCTCATTATTGTACTTTGTAGCATCATTTGAATAGATATCCATAACCATATTTTGAATTGATTGACATTAGACTCTACTACATGCTACAGCAATCTCAACAAGTAATGAAAATATTAATTTGTTAATGAGTAAAAAAAAACTAGGCAAAGTAAATTCACTTAAACTTAAATTATTGAACAAAATATAACAACTTTGTTATTACAACTTTCTATATTCCTGCTGCAGTATACCGAGTATAGTCTCTATGTATGTCATTACATTGATCTTCTATCAAGTATCAAATATGATGATTTCCTCAATCCCTAGAATGAAACGATATGTTATGTATTTTTGTCTCGCAATTATTTCAGGATAAAGTGATATCCAAGCTAGAGCAGATGGGTTATCGTGTGGGACAGAGCCTGATCGAGAAGTTCACGCGAGAAAGCCCTCGATTCAGCAGTGAACTGGACATCATCAAGTTTGTTTGTAAAGATCTGTGGAACGGGGTCTACAAGAAGCAGGTCGATAATCTCAGAACAAACCATCAGGTGAGTGAGATTCTTTTAAGAATACCGTAACCCTCAAAGAAAGTGATCTTCCGAAAGGCTTAACCAGTCAGCTTTACTCCATCAGTACATTGCAACATTGATAGTCTCATTTCACTTTTACATATATATATATATTTACATTTCTGTGAGAAAAGCCTTTTCTCTCTAAAAAAAAAAAAAAAAAAAAAAAAACTTTCCTTACATCTCTTGCAGCAATAGGCTCACATTTTGAAGTTTTAAAACCCCTCTACCCCTTCCCCCCCCAAAAAAAATACATGTAGATTGAGCAGTGAGTCATGTTGTTTGCTCTGTAGCACACCCTTTTAGAGGATATTACACATAGATCTACTGCAACATGGATATTTGCACTTCATCATTTATTAAGCCTGAGTCATTACGGTTTTTGTGCTAAACGGTTAACCGTTAAAAGTATACGGGCGGTTTCGTTTAACCGTTTAATAATAATCTGAAAAAGTGAAAATACAGTATTTGTAATAGTGCTGTAGCTCGGAACCCTGCTGGTCTTCAGACTGTCGGGCTGAGCATTCCCAGCCCCGGACTATGGCACAAATTGGGTCATCCTGATAAACAGAGACCAGTAATAAACAACATAAAACATGTCTTATTATTCCTCATCTGAATTTGATATCATGATTAACCTTGCAAAGTTACTCTGTGAAGATAGCTGATCTGTGACGTGTTTATATGCCTTTGCAATGCAATGTTTGCACATGGTCGGTCAGGGAGAGAGCTCCCTGCATGTATCATTGCCATATGAAATTATGTGGAAGTGTGTATCACACACACCCAAGACACACCCTGCAATGAGCTGATCCAAGTTAGTGACCAATCAGGAAGGTTCTCTAGCTATGTGGGTGGAGTTTGATACCAGCATAAATTACAGGTTGGTGACCGCGCGTGCTTTCACTGTACCCAGTTCAGTGGGAGGTTAAGAAGCCACGCCCACATGTGTGCATGTGACAAGCATGTGCTCTCCATCTGTGTGTATGTACAGTGTATTTGGGCGCCGGAGGTTTGTGTGTACATGTGTGTGTGACTGAGAGAGCATGCATGGGCTAGCATGTCCCTGCATGTCCCTGCATGGACGAGGCAGGGACATGAGAGCATGAACCTATTAGGTTCATGATGAGAGAGTGAAGAAGTAAAACAAGTGAGACTAGATAAAAAGGGTGGCTGTGTTAATCGGCTGAATTGAAGAATGATCAAAAACTTAAATTACTCACAATATCCAAGACTTTGTTGATTGATAACTTCAATTATTATTGTTATCAATATTTTTGTATTTTATTTATATATGAACATTATTTTAGGGGGCGAGTCGGCAAGGGATGGATATTAATATTGAGAGAGAGAGAGAGACTCGGGGGAGAAGGGATGTGAGAGGAACTGACCATCGAATGTGTAAACATTTAGAAAGTTGTGAGCTGAGAGTGCAGTAATAAGACAAGGTACATGAGCGATGAACACATTGCAGAGAGAAGGGGATAAAGAGGGTGAGAAAAAAGAGAAGGGGGCTGGTTGTTTTATTGTTTACAAATTCATTCATGGGGATTACCAGAAAGCTGGCGCGCAGCGGCCAGGGTGTAACATTACATGTACACTGCGGTTTCTTTGATTATCTTTATCATCGGCTATTAGCACATTCAAAAATGTATGCAAATAACGGTTAACCGGAGCGAGAAATGCTAAACGGTTTTGATGAATGCGGTCGGATAACCGTCGGTTAAACGGTTTGACTCAGGCCTATCATTTATGCATCCAGAAAGCTGATAATAATTTTTTAGACTGAAGATTCTTATTCATTTATGGTTAAAAATCAAAAAGTAATACAAAGGAGGGTGGACATAATACATTGTTTGTAGTACCAGACAGTGGCGGATCCAGGGGGGGGGCCCGGGGGGCCCGGGCCCCCCCCCCCTTGAGAAAAAAATCATGTAAAATCATGTGATTTTTACCTTTTTTGGGGGTTGGGCCCCCCCCCCCTGGCGCTCAAGGGGGGGGTGCAAATTGAAAAAATTTTGAGGATCAAAAAAAAAAAAATGCGATCACTACCCCCCCCCCCCCCCCCCCCCCCCCCCACTGAGCGAATTTTTGGCCGGCGCGTTTTTCAAATTTTCGGGAGCAAAAAAAAAAAAAAAAAAAAAAAAAAAAAATTGAGGGTCAAAAAAAAAAAAAAATTTGCTCACTACCCCCCCCCCCCCCACTGAGCGACTTTTCGGCCGGCGCGATTTTCAAATTTTCGGGAGCCAAAAAAAAAAAAAGTTGGGCCCCCTCCCCTAAGAAATCCTGGATCCACGCCTGGTACCAGAATCCAACACTGTCCACTTGACTATTGTAAATTATGTGTGTGTATTCCTGGAGCCCATTATTGAACTGCAATTTAATAGAACTGTCATATTTTTTGCTTCTCAGGGGGTCTATGTTCTGCAAGACAACAAATTTAGACTGCTCACCCAGATGTCATCAGGCAAACAGTACATGGAAGCAGCTCCACAGGTGAGATAATGTTTTTATTTTTTTTGGAGTATGTTCAAGATAATCTATTTTTACCTTATCACATCATTATTATGTAGACCTTTTGCTAGGAGGCAAGCTCGCAATTGGAAGTGACAATTGCTTTTTTGTAGATAAACATACAGGGTGATCCCAGTTCAAATAAAAGAAACAACCCATGTTGTTATGTTTGTACTTATGCAGGTGGGGGAGGGAGGGAGGGGGTGGGTCATGGTTGTCTGGGAGAGCCCAGTTTGCAGTTAACCTAATTCATTGCCATGTGATTTTGTGTGGAGGGGATGTGAAGGTTGCAACATTTTCTTTTATAATAATGAAATAAGTTATATACTACAGTCAGTACACTATGCATGTAATAAAGTAATAAACGTTTGTTTTTAGTTTCTTGATATGGCTATAAACAGTATTATGTTTATGTTATGTCTTATCCTTTATAGTACCTGTACATACCATTTCAAATGACCTGCAGTCACCAGTAATCTTGTGAACATTACATGTTACAATCAAAATAATATTTTACTCTCTTTGTCTCAATCTCTGCACAGTATTTGGCATTCCCTTGTGGATTAATACGAGGTGGTCTGGCAAACCTAGGAGTCAACTGTGTTGTGACGGCAGAAGTCAGCACTATGCCGGCATGTAAGTACAATCTGATTTTTTAATTCATGGATTTCAAAATGTTTATATCACATTTTGTTCCTGCTACAGTTGAAATGTCAAATGTGAACTCGTCAGTTTTCAAAGGTTTCTTAGCACATTTACACACTTGAGCATTGGATATTATTGTACAATTATTAATTGTCAATTGTTAATTAAATATGCATGTGAGAGAATGCACTTCTCTTCAGTTTAAGATGTTGACCGTGTCTTTACAGCATTTTGCAAGTCTTAATAACTACATGTACTTTATAGTATCATTATGAAGTCATACTATATTATCATTATCTCTAATCTTATTTTGCTTTGCAGGTAAATTTCAGGTCATGATTCAGAGGACGTAGCATCTTCCTGTGCTAGCGTTATCTCCGTCGAGGTCAAATGGTGAAGCCTGGACAACCCACTAATGACTCCAAATGTTTAGCTTATTTTTTTGCTAGTCGCAGCAGAAATGGGGTTTTGTATATAAGCCTTTGAAGTCGCTGTACAGCCTCACCAAAGAGACAATGGACTTTTATTGCTCTCCATGTATAAGAGCTATGAAACATGACAAACTGTACAAGAGACTTCCCTATTTTGCTCATCTGCTATACCATCTTATGGGAGTGTGTTTCAAACTTTGCAGTGGATGCAGAATAGGAACAGAATATTACATCATCATAGACATGGAGAGTGACATCATCATCTTGCAATGGGAATTGTATCCTAAGATTGGATTGACATGAACCTTTCGATCTAGATGGACAAAAGTGGACATGAAAATGAGAATGAAAAAGAATGAGCCGTTTTCAGACGTGGAGTTCACTATTTAGTGACCTAGAAACTATACACATCTTGCTCATATACTCTTTCTCATGAATGTTATTTCAACAAATTTAAATAGCCTGCATACATTTTGATGAATAAATCATACATATACTGTTGTAGTGTAGGTACTACATAATTTGATTTCAAATTTTGAAAACGGTACTGTATTTGCAGGCGCCACAGTCCATTTGGCATATTTCTTTTTGCCAAATCTGTACACTATGGATTTCAAGTAAGCACCCTCTTGGAAGCTGTCTGTATAAAAAAAATGAACTAAATTTAGATCTTTTTAATTTTCATAGGTATGACAATATACTTTTAAAAAAATTAGGCTTGTCTTTGGACACCAGATCATTCCTTCTGTACAGGCCATATGAACTGTTAATCAAATGAAGCTTAAACACATATGGACCATGAATATTACATTTCTCTGTACAAATTGTTCTGTAGTGAATAATAAAGATGTAGTCCTATTCCATGGTATTTAATAATGGTTTAACATAATTTTTGTCATTTATTCCTTAGTTATCTGTTAGCCATTATGGATAGGTTAGGCATTTGTAGATACCAATCATGCGTCAGTAGAAATGATGCATGTTATAATAAAAATGCTGTGCAATATCTCTGTTTTATGAATTGTAAACGCATGTCCCTTCTGATCACTTGAAAGGAAAAAAAATGTGGTGCAGCAATATGAAAATATGATTTTATCTGTCATTTAATAGAAAGTGTTATCATAGTTGGGGGTGGGGGTTAAAACCTGCACGCAATGAAGGACCCTACACATACTCTAACCCGTGTGATAAATAGCATGTGAAGAATATACTGTACGAGAGTCATTTGATTCTGTTATGGTGATTTAATACTGCACCATGGAAACAGAAAGTGCTTTTCTACCAATTACACTGTACACTAAAGAACATAAATTGAGCTAAACCGGGTATCATTCATAGGTAATCAAAAAGTGTATGATTGTAGGGACATGTAAAATATCACCTTTTTGTGCCCATGTCTACAAATCAAGATAAAATTTGATTACTTCAATTTACCATGGAGAATCAATGTTGTAGTAAATCTATTTACCTAATTGTGTATTTAAACTTAATACATGTACATGTGCATTCCCTGTAGATTTTGTTCAGTTTTTTATTTTGTGTTTGAGATAAATATATGTGCATTGATTTATTCGACATGGTATTAATAAAGAATCAAGTAACCATGAAATGCAAGTTAGTTTTTGCTCTTCTTTTTACCAGGTTACAGGCAAATCATGCATGCATGAAAAGTAGCTAAACAGACAACACACTTTCACCAAGTCCATGATCTTAACCAATACTAGACCTTATAGAATCATTAAATTTGTAATTTTCTTTCTGTTTTGTATCGATATCTTTAATGGATTATACTGAAGTACTAATTCTAATTGCTACAATCAAGAACTTGAAAGTGAATCTCCACATGTGCTTGTTTACCGTTATATGACTTGGTTCTCATAATATTTTAATGAAGTACAAAGTTTGTGTTAAGCTTAGGACATGGCCACCAAGGACAATTTTGTGTGAGAAAAGGATTTTATAAAGAAAATCTAAACAATTTCACTAAAGTAACAACAAACTACCGTTATCTCATAATTGCAATGTGAAATCTTTCTCAGTTCACAAGAGAAATAGAAAAAAAATTATTGCGCTCTAAATTTATTGCGCAGTTTGTGCACCTTTGTCTCCCATAAATTCAGTAAAGAAATGGGATGGAATTATTGGTGACATATCACAATGAAAACAAAACACCTTTCTCTTGTGGTTCTTGAGATATTGCAATAGCAGGGCTAAAACGTGTAAATTCAGAAATTAACTTTGTTGACCTTTGAACCCAAATTCTTCTTATGTTGGTACATAACATCACTAAGTTTGAGCATTGTATATCTAGTGGTTCTTGAGATTTCACCATGAAAGAGGCCAATCGCTGGAATTTCAGAAGTTGACCCATGACGTTTGACTTAGTAAATCCAAAATCTAATCAGATTGTCTTACTATGGTGATACATACTATCATTGAGTCTAAAGTTCATATCTCAAGTGGTTCTTGGATATCCGGATAACAAGAAAGCAGGATGGGTGTACGCACAACCCGAGAACATAATGCCTCTGTAGACACCACCATTGGTGGGCAGAGGCAAAGAAATACAGTAGATGGAGACAAACCGAGAAGAAAGTTGGGCATTGAAATAGCAAGTTAAATATATTGTGATATGATATCATTGTGAGCTGTCTATACCACGAGGTGTCTACAATTACACCATCAAAGACTAAAAGAGTACAGTGTACTAGAAAGATAGACAGCATACATCCAACTAACAAAACTGCCTGCAGAGTATACCGGTACTGTGTTACAAATAACATGGACAAAATCATGTCCCCATGAATATGGAAATATTCAGTGATGAATCTGTAAAAGTTTGAAGGGCGGCAGTTCAAAACCCATGTCGCAAAAGGTTGGTCCCTACATTTAAATAACCAGCTGATCGACACACATTTGTACGAGCCAAGCTACAAGTACAAAGGCACACGCACACACACATACAGACACTACATGCACTTTCTTGTTAGACTGGACATTTAATACACATACAGATATCAAGCTTCCTGAAAAAACGTATTTATTCAGACTGAATTACATCATCATTCATTACAAGATACTTGCGAGCTCCCATCCCCAATGAAAAACAAATGAAAAGAAAAGAGAAGGTATTATGCACAAACAATGTATCTCATTTGATTCACAATTTCATATCATTTTAAACATGATTGTATAACTTACGATGACATATAAAGATCGACGTACAAAAAAATTCACAGAAGACACACACACATGCACAAACAAAAACATATAAATGTACACTCTATTCTCTTGTTCTTTATTAAAAGAATCGAAACAGAATATGTTATAAACGTACAAATATCAAGTTTCTTGAAAAACACATTTATTCTCAGACTGAATTACATCATGATATAATACTGTTAAACCCCTCCCTCCAAAAAACCAAAACAACTTTATCTAAAGAGACAGAAAAATACTATGCACATACCTGAGTTGGTTCACAACTTTGTATATCATTCTTAACATTATTGTACAAACTTAAAAATACTGCTCATGGAACAAGAGCACACTTATTATCACACACATAAATGGACAGTCATATCTACTTCTTGAAGACATCTTTCACCGGGTCTGAAAATACCACTCCTTATCAAATTGTGCAAACTAAGGTTCAGACCATTTTATAATCAATTGATCATTAATTCACACTTTTCAGCTCAAAACATCCTTCTTATGAATTAATCTCTAATGATGAACCCAGGCAGTGTGGAAAAGCCCCCCCCCCCCCCCCCCCCATTACGGGAACGGAGGGACCGCATTCATGTTCCCCAAATCTCTGGTAAAGGGGTACTTTTCATGCAACAAAGTCCGGCTAGTAATACCCAAAAACTCAGCCCGTATCGACTTTACACACCATACTTACGGGGATGCTTTCAAAGGTACAGAACATGCATACGCGTACCCTAAATAACACTGATGGGGGGGGGGAGCCCATCTTATCAATGTCAAGAGCTACTCACACGTCTGGCCAAAGCTCCAAGGGGTTTGTGCAAAATTTCAATGCATCAACTTTCTACATTGCAGTCTCTTATTCCTCAGCCCAAGTCTTGCCTTATAATTCATTTCATCTAGTTTCTATTTACAACATTCTTTTAAACAATAATCCGTAGTGAAAATGCAGTAATACACATTAACTGGTATACATTGTTGACCTTATATGACAATGATAATAGAGAATTGATTCATGAATTCAGAAAAGGTGTCTTTCATTTGATGATCTCGAAGGCCATTATCAGTGACAGTGTTTTACAGACAATTTACTTTAAATAGGGCAGTAATACTCTTGTAAATACAAGAAATTTGTTAAACATTATTCACTTGAACAATGAGAACAATTTTTTCTAAATGTGTGCTTTTTTAATCACAACCAGAGGGAAATTCCTTGTAGAATCAAATGTCCAGAACCAGTGTCAAATGAATATAATACATGGTTATATTCTATTATCGATGCACTGATTCAGGTTACGTGAGAGTTTTACATGATTAATGAAATACAAAATCATCTCTCAACTGGGCATATCAGTTGAAAGTTGTTACAACCCTACACATAAATCTAGCATTTTCCTTATAGGAAAGCTAAGTACACACACTAACTAGTCATTTGAAATAGACTTTACCCTGTACAAATACAATGATCATTACCGTTGAACCCTGATAAGTCAATGGAAAATGATGTTTTCTTCTTGAGCTCTGAAGCACACATGGCACATTCTTCAGAACTTCTTTGCAGAGTGTGGAGGCTCACCAAGGGTCTCACTTCTGGCTTGGATTAGAGAAGTAGAAGTCTAGTCCTCTCTGTTGACCTCTCGGTGGGCCCTGGTTCCTCCTCTGACCCTTCCCCGACTGGTTCCTGCCCCCTCCTTGACTGCCCCCTCCTTGACTGCCCCCGGCTCCTCCTCTTCCACTTTGCTATTGTCGGGTAGAATAAAAATAAAGGTGTACTTACTCAAAGCATGCATTAAGCATTTACTAAGCAATTACTCAACCAAATAGCAAAAAGCAAAAACAGTGATCTGATATTGGATGTGATGGCATTTGCTCTATGTCTAATTTTGTAGGGTTGAGGTTTAAATTGTGATTTGAGTTTTCCACAAGAAGGTTACATACATTTTAGGGTTAAAGCCTATCTGCACTAGTTTGGCCAGGAGGGATTAGACCTCACTGCATGGTCACTGGCAGGTGGTTACCTCATCAAATCAGCTCTCAATTAACATAAGAAAAAAGGGATCATGGGGGATCAACAGGTACTGCTAAGGCATTGTTGGCTATATAGAGAACGCAAGGAGCTACAAGTAGTGCGGTCCTGCTAGATAATCGCCCACACAGCATATTGTTGTAGATCCAAGCTATTAACATGGACAAGTTTCACTGTACATGCAGTTGGCGGATTCCGCACAATGTGTCCATACGATATATATGTCCTTGTGTCCACATATTTCATCTAAAAGATGGAAAATAGCTCGATATGGCCATTTAATAATGATATAGTGATATCAGAAAATACCACAAGTCAATGGTCATACCACAAAACTTTCAATTGTGGATGTAATAAATGGATAAATGTAAAAAAAAAGAACATCATACAAGACATTTTGGTGCGTGGAATCGCCCATTGAATGACTTACGGGTCTCTTGGAGTGTCTGCTCCACTCAGGGGCCGTGACTATGGGGGAGGGGTAAGTCTCCCCTAGTGATACCCCTGCTTGGTTGAGCTGTGCGCTGCTCAGTGTCCATGGCATGTGGATGGACCCTCCCTTGATACCGCTCAGCTCCGGTACCCACAGGCGAATGTAGTCGCCCTAAATTGATGCACAGAAAGAGAGAGAGAGGGGGGAGGGGTATAACTCTACAATTATTTTCGAAGAATTTTTACTTTTCTCATGTAGAGAAAGTGTTTGATTAGCAGATTTGTATAAAAATCAAAACAAAACCTGTCCAAACAAACAACAACAATTTCCCACCAAACTCCAATTTTTCTTCCAGACTATCTTCTTCATTTTCTCATCATTATCATTATCATTATTTGTATTATTACTTCCATTCTTGAAAGAGTTGAAACTAAATGAGTAACGGCACGCTGTGAATCTGACATCATATACATGCCTATTCAAAATAACTGGAAAAGAAGGGGAAAAACACATAAAATATATGCATGTAAAATGTAATCCTGTATATATGCTATACAAACATTCAAACTACTGGTAGTCGATACCGAACTACTGGTAGAAGATACTGATCAACTTTTAAGTCCATATACTTACATTTGGATCATAGTCTAGACCCTGTTTGATCATGTTAAACTTCCTGTCCTGACGAGGATCATTACCGACTCCAGCACTGTAGAGCCAGTTGCCATAGTTACTTGTTACATCGTGATCAACCTTCATTGAAACATGAAAACATGGAAACATTTTTCAATCTACAATAGTACAATTGCAACGAAAATCTACTTGAACAAAACAGGGGCGGATTCATGGGAGGGGGGGGGGGAGGGTGGGGGGAGGGTGGGGGGCACAAGCCCCCTTTTGTTTGTACCGAGAAAAAAAAATAGCAGGAAAAAAGCTAAGCCATATTCACATAAATGTTCAGTTTACGCTTTCAGAAATGCCTCAAAATGTAACATAGAAATCTTAGATTAACAAAAGAACCCCATACCGCAAAGTACATTTCACATCCCCCTCCTTTTGGAAAATCTTGAATCCGCCCCTGCAAAACCTAAGGAAAATCTACAGTCACTGAGAAATAGCTCTCTTCGCTGAGATGCATAAACCATGTCAAATGCTTAAAGAGGAAAGAGCGTGAAAATGACAACTCAAGTCTTTCATTATGGAAAAAAAAACATTGAAAAATGGAAGAAAAATTGTATCTTGTAATTACATACTGATGAGTGACAAAAACAAGTTCAGACAAGAGAGTGAGTTTACTGATTCAAACTCTACTAAATTGAAAGAATCTTGTGGGAGTCTGAATCTAACTTGAGCAAATCATATATTTCCCCTTCCTTGTTTCCAGATATTGACTTACAGCCAGTAGTAGAGACTTTGTATAGATCCATAGCATAGGATGTTAAATGCATACATCATGTGTAGGAGAGTCCCGACCAATGAAAAACTAGAAAAATTGAAATCTCCATTGCCGCGCAATTCGAATGTGTCCCCCGGCACTTTGAAGGAGGGACAAAGATCCCGTCTCCCCTCCCTGAAACAAGAGGATGACATAGAGATCGCCACTAGTGGCTTAGACTGTAGTCAAGAATAGGAGCAGCATCACCAAATACTAAAGATGTGTAGGTTTGACTAAGACACACCTCCATACAAAGTTTGAAAGAAATCCATCACGAAATGTGGTGTACCGCTGCTTAATCCAAAGTATCCTTCGGCATACTGCAGGGGGATACAACTAGCAAAAAAAAGAGACAGGAACATACTTACCAACATCTGCTCAAACCACTCTGCTCCCAGCCTCCAATCCAGGACTAGATCTTTCGTCAGAAAACTAGCCACGTTCTGGCGCCCTCTGTTGGACATGAAACCAGTGGCGGCCATCTCTCGGATGTTGGCATCTACAAAGGGCACCCCAGTCTGGCCTTTGCACCATGCATCAAACCATTGCTTGTTCTTGTTCCATGGCTTGTGGACTCCAAGCAGACCTGAACACAGAAACAACATTTTGTATCAAAATTTGTGTAAAATGAAGTAAATTGTGTCAAAGTACTGTTGGAAACAATTGAAACAATTTTGTTCTATTTTGTATATTACAATCAACCAAAGCTATTTAAAACTGACAATTGTTTAAATACGACAACATGCTTAACGATACTGAACTATAAACGAGAAAAATGAAGAAGATGTCTGAAATGTGCATATAACTTGAAATGCTTGAAAAGCTCTACAAGATGCCTCAGGCAAAACATTGAGCCATTAGATAAATTTGCCTCTCTTGTATTTCTCTGTTTTTCTGAGTGCTCATTCTACAGACATAATGCATTAATGTCTGTCAAAAAAAAAAATCATCATCATCGTCAAGTGCCAGGTCAGTTACAGACATTGGCGGTCATGGTCCTCCATTTCTGTCTTTTATCTGCTATTGCTGTATCACGCAAAGTAAATATGCAAGGTGCTGCCATCCCATGCTTCTCTTTCCAGGAATCTACCCCGTTATTATTGTTTCATTTTTCTAGATTTGTCCTTCCTGTATATTTGACCAACAAATTGCATTTGCCTCTTTCTTAATTTTGTCAATGAGTGATGGTTTTACGCTAGCTTTTCTGAACATTTCTTCATTTGTTATCTTTCATGTCCATTATTTATTCCTCATCTCTGTGGAAAATATAAGCTGCCTAAAATGTTCAAAAAGTTAAAGGATCTCACCACTCAAGTAGAACATTTTATCTCCAAACTTCAGAGCAACAAACTTGAAGTAGTCTCTCCATATCAGCTCAAATATCACCCTGGAATGCAGAGCGTGAAAAGACATGAAAACATGTCAATCTTTACAAATTTAATCTTGGTGAATAGAAATTTCAACATGTCAAAATACTCAAAACTAGGCGAGATTATAATAGAAGAGAAGAGAAGAGATCGTATGGAGTTCTAATATCATTCTAACTGTAATAATAATAATAATAATGATACATCAAACTCATATCACAAATATTTCTCGATGCGCTATACTGGGGAGAAGGAAAGAAAAAGAATTGAGAAAAGCGAGATACCCTCAGCATACTTCTTTGAATCATCAATTAACACTGTACATTGTTTCTATAAGAAATGTTTTAAGATGTGTTTTAAAGTTATCAACAGTATCACAATTTTGATATACCCTGTAGCTACCAGGTTAGAGAATACTCACCAATAGGTTGACTGGTTCTCTGTTCTTTCCTTCTCATATCTCTTAACCTCTGCATGGATCTGCCTAGGTGAGACACAACCATGTGCTAACCTGAAACATGAAAGAATTGAAAAAGAAAAAGATTTCTAAAACTTGTTCTATCTGAGCCTACAAATATTCAGGAAAAGACAATCAGGAATTGTTGTTGGATTCAAATCCAGTTATCTTTTAAGTTATAACATTTGATAAAGGAATATTCAAGAACTAAATTGAAATATCCTTAAAACATTAGGCTTAGTGTTACGGTCTCTTTTTTATAATTTGTTTAATTAATATACTGTTGCCGATGACCTGTTCCAGGTGTTCTTTCCCTTTATTTTGACACTAACCCATTTTCATGACTGTAAGATTGTCTTGAAGTTTGTCAAATTTCAAACAACTGAATATGAACATTTGTATCAATACCACTTCCTCTAATAATTAAGGTACCGGTAGTAAGAATTTGCCATTCTGTCGCACAAAAAACATCAAGAAACTGGTAAGCAAAGCTTCTCTTATGTCAAACCATACCTTCATGATATCTTGCTTAATTAATTTCTTCTTGATCTTCAACAGTCAACATTGGAGCTTCATCAGAAATTTCAATCTCCAATCCAAACTTTTTTTCAAACAAAGTCTTTATTCATTTTTCTTCAAGCATAAACAGGATAAGCAAATGTACACAATGATGGATAAATACATTTGAAAATCAGATCAAAACTTACCACGCTGCAAATTTTGTGGAGTACTCTGAACCGATGAGGCCATTTCGGGTTTCCTTGTATTTAGCAATGCAGTCCTGTTTGGTTTTAAAGCAAAGACAAAACACAGAAAGAATATCTTCAGTCACAGAATTAGAGGTAGTGTAATTGGAAAGTAAATTCACAGAATTAAAAAGTTAAAAATTAGAGCTGTTCTATGACATAAAGGTTCAGCAAGAACGAATGCTCATTTTTTTGTGGTGTGTATCAATACTGTACATTGATTAGAGACTGATCCTAAGATAAACTAAAAGAGGTGTATACTTACACTCTTCCAAAAATAGTCTTCAATTCTTGCAAGGCCTGTGGTCTCTCCCCCCTGGAAGGGGAATGCTGTTCTTGAATCAGAACCGGGATCTGTGAATGAAAAGCAGTGGAATGGCACAGTTAAGCATTTTAAAATAGAAATTTGGCAAGTAAGTATATATCTGAGGGGTAATGAACAAGTAACCCCAGGACCGTATATCGTCTATTACACGTTCTTGAGAATTACCTCTCTACCATTCATCTTGACATAAAATTTTGGCCAGATTATCCACCTGTTTTACTTATTTCATAGAATGTTTTACAAATAAACACTACCACAACTCTACAATAAATCTATTTGAATCACTGCAATGATCTGGTAGCTTATCTGGGTTGATGTAAATTGTTAATGTTAAAATGTTTCATTAAGCAGGGCCTTGCCCCTTCCTCCCCAACCCCATCCGCGGATTGTCCAATATGAACCATTCTTATGATATAGTTGATCCATATATTTGATAGAGTCCTAATCCGTGTTGTACCGTAGTCTGGACCTGAAGGTCTGGGACCAAGACCCAATAACAACAAGTCACAAGATTGTCTCGACACATACAACACTGGTTCTAATCAAGAAGGAAATTGCTCGTGAGTGAGAAATCAGCATTAAATTGTTCATATACAGGGACATATGTCATAAAGGAGACTAAAATGATTGGAAATCTCATATATTTTCCCTTAAGGATTCTAAAGAAATGGCACAACCAAGTCCTGCCAACCATATCACACTTGACAAGCAGCGGTATTACCCCGGAAATTCTTTATTCTTCTCAGAATGACAGAGGGGGACTGCTATCCCTTCAGCATGCCTAGAATCATGCATAGAAATAGCCCAAAGTTGTTGGGTGGTTAATGTATGTTTGCACAGAGACTAGAAAAATAGAAGGATCTACTACCTTTCAAACCAAATGATGAGAATACAGGAATATCTCCTTCCTCTACTCCTTGTGGAAGTCCTTTCAGTGGTTTGGGCATGTTGATGGGTGGTCTGACATGTGATCTGTTCTCCACCTTCTTTCTGAACTCTGTGTACACGTTAGGCACTCTACAAATTAATGACAACAAAAATATACAACACTACATGAATTTATAAAGAATATCACATGAAAGTCATACCTAACACTGGGTTAGACAAGACAAGCGGTATGCAACAAGATTATCATGAAATAGCTTCAGATAATTTCCTGTGAATTTATTTTCCAAAAAGAGATATGGAAGACAACTGGAACTAACATACTAGTAGTCACTTTCTGGAACCTGATGGTAGAACAGCTTTCCGTGACAAATTCCACACGACCACACGGCAAAACATTTTTCAAATACATGAATTTTGTTAAGGGATGGTTAGGTTTGCATGCAGACTCATAGTTCAAAAATCAAGTGCACAGTCTGGATATTTATATAGGAGAAATACAAAAGATGTTGTGTCAGATTAAACACCGTGTGACACTGAAAACTAAAATACAGATGATGGTACGGCATACTAAGTTAGCTATACAATTTTGTGCTAAAACTTGATTGGTAACAGTGAAAATGGTTGATAAACTGGTCTTTGACAAAACTAGATGGAATTTGACTGCGCCCAGTCGAAAATGATGCCTCCGTCATAGAGCAATTTCACAAACCGAAACGGAAGAAATTTTTCAAATTCAAGTTCAATTGTAATCCATTAACAGGTTTTTAGAATATCGTGATTACAAGCAATTTCTCATATACATATATGACCCTTTGATCTTTGACCTCATGACCCTAAAATCTACTCAGTTCATTGGCTCTGCAAGATGTCCTGAGTTAAATAGTAATCCATCTGTTTATTTTATTTTTATTTATTTATTCTCCACTCATGTGATGGATTGCCCTTGTCAGCTATAAGCTGTTTTTCAAAGGGGTCCAGGTTTCAATAAATGATCTAAGTTTGGCAGGAATCCATCAATCTGTTCTAATGATAATACAATCACAAGCTATTTTTGCATACATAATGAGCCGCATGACCTTGACCTTTACCTCATGACCCCAAAATCTAATCAGTTCATCGGCTCTGCAAGATACATACATGACCTAAGTTTGGCAGGAATCCATCAATCGGTTCTTCAGATAACACGATCACAAGCTGTTTTTGCATACATAATGAGCCCTGTGACCTTTGACCTTTGACCTTTGACCTCGTGACCCCAAAATCTAATCAGTTCATCAGCTCTGCAAGATATATACATGACCAAAGTTTGGCAGGTATCCATTAATTGGTTCTTCAGATAACGCGATCACGAGAACGGGACGTACGTATGTACAGACGTACGTACGGACGGACAACCCGAAAACATAATGCCTCCGGCTACTTCGTAACGGAGGCATAAAAACTCCTAAAATTCCTAATGGAAGTGTTTAAGCCTGTCTGTACTAGTTTGGCTGGGGGGGGGGGAGGAGTTAGACCACTCTGCAAGGTCACTGAAAGGTGGTTATCTCATCAAATCAGCTCTCAATTAACAAAAGAAAAAGGGGTCATGGGGGACCAACAAGCACTGATTAGGCAATGTTTGCTACATAGAGGGCGCAAGTAGCTATAAGTAGTACAGTGGAGCTTGAAGACTCACCCCTGTGGACTGAATGGCACATCTTCTCTATGGTAGAGAGTGGATCCCCAGAACTTCTTGACCTGGACACCAAGCTTGGAGCAAGACTGATGTAAACCGGCCTCCACGTCCAGCTCCTCACGAGTCGCCTGATGGACCAAACGTCACATTGAACACTTTTGAAAATTTGTTCACACGACTTTAATACAAATGAGAGGATTTATGATAACAGTATCAGACTTGTTTACTAAAGTATTTTATTGTATGCATACCGGTACACTATACAATGTAATATCTTAAACTGAAAACAATGGATCTGTGTAGATAAACAGGAACTACATTTTTTTTAGCCCAGTCTATATTTGGGATATTTGACAGAGACTTCCATTTATCTATTGATTTAGGGGAGTTAAAAACATGTTGAGCACTTAAATTGTGAATATACCGACAGATCCTTGTTACTTTCATGATATTTTTAATCATTTCCTCTTGAGCTGTTAGGTTTGCCTCTGAACATTTAGGGATATTATTTTTCCAATTATGGGGAATAGCAGTTTTCACAGAATAAAGTTCTACAAAATTGCATTCAAACTTATATTTGTTTTTAAATTGAAAGAAGGTACAAATATTACCATTTTCGTCAAAAAGATCCAATAATTTAAATATACCTTTGTCATACCATAGTGTTGTTCCTTATATTTTGTCGTCTGCAATGGGAAGGATTGATTTCCTTATCGAGTGTTAAAGAGGCCCATGACTGGGCTACTTCCTGGATAAAAATGTTTTTAATTGACAATATACCAGAATCATTTTTATCAATATTACTAAACCAGAAAAGATTTCCTCTAAATGGAGCCATACAAACTTCATAAAAGCATTTACATTGCCCAACACTACTTTCATCAAGCAGACGTTTATAACCCAGGCGATTTTTAAGCCTGAAATAATCCAAAATCTTGCTGTTACATAAGCCTTTTTCAAGTTCTCCTCACCACCCCCGCCCCTCCCCACATACATGGAAATCACTGAGAACTCAAGGCAGTGAATGCTTTTCAAGGTCTTGAAAACAAACCTCACCTCTTCTTGCAGCGCTACTGCAGCTACTTCACCTTCTCCAAACTGCTGGATCAACTGAGGCACCACATCTTCAGGGTTACCACTCCTTACCACTAAGCCACTGAAAGAAGATGAGAGGAGGGAGGGGGTCATGTTTCCATCAATAACTTTTATGATTTTAAACAGGCAAATTAAACATTTTTAGGGCATATCAACTGTTTGAAGCCACAAGGATGCTAACGCATACATTACCGGTAATGCATACATGATAACATTTGAATACCATAAAAGGTAGTTTCCTCAGGTGTCAGCCCCACCCGTCACAAGCGAAAATGTTGCATTTCAGGCTCTTTAGAGGTCCTGTTTCACTAATTATCAATTGATGAGACTGCCAGATAAATAAACAGCACGTAAGTAAATTGTTATTTTATATTTTTTTCTATTCATTTACTAAGTCATACGTTTGTTTATTATACTTATGTTTATTCATCATTTCAAACATGATTAGCCAAAAGGCGGTAGCTATCTGCAAAAAGTTAGTAGGCAACTTGAGCTGAAAAGAGGTAGAGTTGTCATGAATGTAAATGCCTTCACATGACATCAAACTTAAGGAGAGTTGGTATTAATCTGAAGAAGGGACCCAATAATTGTAGTCTTTAAGAGCAGGTAGCCTTTCTAGGTTACATTAGTGCAGGTTCCATAAGAAACACTGTTCAAGGGAAACACCCCTTGTATCTTATAGATATTAAAGGTATAGACAAGTTTTGGAAACACACCCCCCCCCCTCCCCTCTCAAAAAATGAAATGGAAGCTCTTATTACCAGTCATGTGAAAGAATATGTTTTAACTAATACGTGATGATATCTGATCAATTCCACAACGTTTCTTTGACAATGCAATCGCATGACTAGAACTGGTCTAAACCTTTAAATGGAGGGCCTTCCTATACATGCGTAACTGGGAAAGATATCACAAAATTACTCTAGAATGTTTTAAAGAATCTACCTTCCGACTGATTGGAGAGTCGTCCTGAGATCTCGAACACTCTCCAGGAGGAACTTGAGGCGATGAGGACCGGTCTTTGGGAACCCAAACTGATGGGTGCCCTTATAGTGACGAGGATCAAAGCAGTAGAGAGGAATCACGTTGGTTGCATTCTTGTGTGCCCAAAAGAGAACCTGAAGATGAAGGAATACAAACGTAGAATGTCATGAGAAAAGCCCCTGTTCTTAACCTGGCCAGACTCGCACAAGCAAAGTGTATGGATGACTTTTCCAATTTCCATACAGCTATACATAGAGGTACACCAACAAAATCTGTCTATTTCGTTTAGGGATATGTTCACCTGAGACTACATCTGGCCTCACCAAATTCCTCTCAGGGAGGAAAGTGCCCCCCCAAAAAAATTGTTGTAAAAACTCCTCCAAGCAGACAAATTTTGTTTGTCTAACATACAAGATAAAACATCTTGAGGCGATTGAATCAATAAAATTATTGATTATACTTTTAGATAGATTTGCAATTCAGGGCATTTGAGTGGCATGATACCATCATGAGTTTAAATTAAAATAAAGAAAGGAAGAGGGAAGGCAGAAAAGCCATTACGACCTTTGAATAGTGATATCCAAACAAATATTTTTTAAACCTGACCAGACTCGCCAGCGTAATAAGGCATGGCAGATGTTCATGTTCAAGATTTTAACAGAACTTTTATTTACCTCATTGTCACGGTATCGAAGGTCATTTCGAAGAAGACATATGACGATCTTCATTCTTCCAGCCATGATAAATGGAGAATGTGGTATGTGCACTGCAGGCTGTAACGGCCAAGTCTGTACCTGTAAGTTAGGCTGCATGGAGGGGAGAAAATTAATAAATACTGGTAAGTCATATAAAAATAAAATATAACAAAAACAAAAAGTTGTAGATTTAGTCCATTTTGTCGGAAGGATAACAGTAATGATAATAATGGTCAATAATGGTCAATGGTGAATATGTGACTATTAATTTTAAATAATGCAGTTCTCTTTTACAAGCTTTCAAACAGGAAGGCTGTCCAGATATGTAGAAAGATTCCTCACAAATGTTGAAGATCTTTCAAATCATGTCAGTGAAATTTCACAAGAAATAAATGATAATGCTAGGATGGTTCTGTCTAGAAGTTGAATTAAGCAAAACAAAGAACAGATGCGCCTTGCATGGGTTATTCTAAATTACCTACTCGTGATCCTGGAGACAGAGAGGAAATTCAAAACGATGTTCAAAGAAATTACCTGATGTCTCTAGGACCACACCAACCCAAGTTCTCTTCATTTCCTGACGATAAAGACATACTGTACACTGTACCTAAGAGTTTCAAAGCAGAAAAGGTTTTCTGCAACCTGGTATCAGCTGTATCCTCATCTTGAATAAAATATTTTAAAGGATGCAGGATATCGTTTTGTTTGTTCACTTTTTTCGAGGGGCCCTGGACGCACTGGATGTACAAAGGTTATTTAAGCGGAACAAAATTCAATTGTCATTTATTATGTAGATTGTAGAATGTAAAATTGAAGTTGTAACTTCCTTCTTCTTATCTTCTCTCTCTTCTTATGTTCCTATAACTGTCTTTACCTTATGTTATCTATATCTTTCCTCTTTCTTTTGTTGTTGTGAATGTATGTAAAATATTTTTTATATAAAATAAGTTTGTATCTTGTTTATAAATGTATTTATTTGGGGATCATTCTCATCAAGCCAATTTTGGCTTTCATGATTCCCCACTTCCTTTTATCTTATGTTGACAATGAACAAATATGTAAATACTTTTGATGTTTTTAAAAGAGAGTGAAATAAATGAATGAAATAAACATTTGTTGATCCAGCATGGACCAAAGGGATCAGGCAGTGGCACAAGATGTGCAGCAGAGGAAATGATAAGAAAGGCAAGTTAGAGCACCATAAGGCAGCACTGGAGGATTTCGCACATTACAAGAAGCAGACAGGTCATTTGGAAAACTTTTTTAATAGACAAACAACATCATGGGAAGGTCATACAGGAACAACAAGATGCACCGAGCAACAAAGAGTCTGTGTATCCTGTGTATGTTGCCTGTACACTGGTACATCAGGAATTAGCTTTCAGAGGCTTTGGCTCAACTTCAGGTGATCGAGAACTTCAACCAGATTGTCCATTTGATGGGACAACACAGCCTAGTGATGAGATAATGGTAACAGGAGAAGCGTCTCAGACCATACCATAACACATAAATGAGCGCAACGTCACAAAATGAGCTGATTGGTCTACTAGCCACCAATCTTTGTTTGAAAATCAAGATGGTATACATGTAGATATAGATTTTTGATTTTGATTGTATATATATATTTTGATGGTTGAACAAATAAATGAATTGAATTGAATTGAATGGTGATGAACGAATGCTGGCATGTACTCAGTTATGGCAGACACAACTCCTGATACATCTAACAAGGACAAAATGGCTGTTGCTGTACGATTTGTAGACAAGAATGTAGTCAAGGAATGTATTCTTCAAGTAAAAGAAACAACAGACAAAACAGGCCATGGGCAAGCTACAGACATCCTCAAATCATTGGAAGAAAGCGATCTTGATTCAAAAGAACTGGCTTTCCAGTCATATGACTTTGCTTCAAATATGTCTGGGGCAACAGGCGTTGTTGTCTGAGGAATTAGGTCGGGAAATCCTGTATATTTCATGTCAAGCACACCAATGTAATACTGTGGTGGAGCATGCTTGTGCAAGCAGTCATCTCATCACTGAAATGTTCTCTATCATAGAGGAGCTGTATGTTTTCTTTACAAGCAGTAAAAAGAGGCATGCTGTACTAAGTCAGTGTTTGGAAGGGAAAGAAATAATCTCATCCATTTCTGATTCGAGGGTACAAGCCCAGGCATGTGGATTTTTGAAGAAGGTTGCTTGTCTAGATTTTATCATAGCCATCATTTTCATGAAGGATAACATGTCCAAGACGAAAATCTTGGTGAAGCTTCTCCAAAGGAATGACCTGAATATCCTGGATGCCCTCATGGAAGGCTTTACAAGAGCAAAAATTCAATTGCTGAGCAATATTCAATCTAACGATGAGGGGATTCATGCAGAAATTGATGCTGCATGCATGACCATGCACTCACTCATGACTTAGGCGGTCTTACTTCATCATTTGGTTGGAGATGGCATTTGGTTGGAGATGGTGCACTAGCTAGTTGGTATAATCCTAGTCTCGGTGTCTCGCTAGGAGTCTCTCCTCAAGAGCTCAAGAGGGGTGAATCAGTGTAATAGCAAAGAGAGCTATACAAAAAGGCAATTTATATTTCTGTATTTATGATTAATTATGCATATTTGTGCATTTTAGTGTTATACCTTGCTTATTGCTTTTGGTGGTTACAAATACAATGTAACTGTATACCATATCTGGAAAAGTATCCAAAGTGTACAGTATTTCTATGGTGTGGAGAAAATGCCAAGTAGGCAATATTTATTATTAATGTATCTATTCCTATGAATAATCATATAGATGTTGCTGATGTTTAATATGAAAAAGAAACAAAAACTAATCTGTTTGCCTGTTTCTTTTTGTCATATTAAGGGTTGATCCATCCTCAAAATAAATACCACATAAAACTCTGAATGACTTTGTTGTGTGTCATTTGTGCCTGCTGTTACACTAAAGAAGGTAGAACCTATGGCATGCTTGCTTTAACCACCAATTCCAGAAGTACCAATATCAGATCTTGCACAGGCTTAATGCCGAACCTTTCCAACTGAGTTCGACCCTGGAGCAGTGCGGATAGAGTTGCATTGGAGATATTTCATAAATGACCCAAATCAGATGGTTATTGCTGTCTACCTTCCACCCAACATTGCCCAATGCTCTCTAGGACTAGGGTATTTTCTCTTCTACTTTCTACGAAGTCGTCAACGCACAGATGCAGCAGGTAGCATGCCATGCCGTGCCTTGCCCAAGCTAGAGCGAGTACAAGTCCCCTGCCGCTAAAGTAGTACAGCTAGAGCTCTCTAGTCCGAAGATTCACTCAGCTCACTGAACACACAATTACATCATACATCCTCATGTTCCATGTTTCATTTCACTTTTATCATAAACTCTCAAATTTTTCTCTCTATTAACAATCAAACTTCACATCACGACTGAACACATCTTGATGTCTACACCTGTAAATTTACATCAGTATCTTAAATAACAAAAGAAAGATGTTCAAAGTGCTATCTTACGCTTTATAACTTGGTCTCTTGTCGTCCAACTGCATCAAGCTAGATAGCTAGCTGCGAGTTTACGTTGGCCTGAGCTGAGCTGGTGCGGGTGCGCGGCGCTCCGATCCGGGGATGATTGCCTGGGATTCCGCTATCGAGCATTATGGCCTCATACAAAATTCGGTTTCATAACTTTTGTGCACGTGCGCAAGTTGCGTGCGTGCGGCGTGAGGATGTTTACAAAACAATCTTACGAAAGGGTGGGCGTGGCCGGGGGGGGGGGGGGGGGCTTTTTAGATAGTATGATTACTGATCAAGCATTCTTGAGGGGAGGTTGTTCTGAAATTTATACATACGAAGTGAAGATAATTTTATTGAGAAAACGTAATATTAGCAAGTGTAATTTATGGAGCACATTATGTTAAGGTCGATCGATGGAGCACATCTCCAAGGCGATGTATATAAAATACTATAATGATGAACATGAGTCAGAAATAAATATGTTACACCAATGCTCTCTTTGGTTTATAAATGACTGTATATATAGTTTCTCTGTAGTATGACCAACCTGACTCGTTCAGTAAATAAACACTTATGTGGGGTCGATGATATGTCACCAAGATAATTTATTATATTGTTGAATCTTTAACCCATGCATGTGTTTCATTTATCATTTATGTCTGGAACATTTCCTGATTCAATGAACCTTCATACCTTTATTTAAGAAATGTGATATATTACATGGTTCATCGAACTATCACCCAATATCGTTGCTTTCGTCTTTTCCCATTTTAGAAAGACTAATGTACAGTCGATTATTTACTTTCCTTCATAAGCATTTAATTATTTTTTTTCGGAACAGTTTGGGTTTCGAAAATGTTATTTAACAGAGTCAGCTTTACTTTTTGCATCCGAACTTTTGTACAAGTTTTATGAAAAGAAAGAGATAACTTTAGGAGTGTATTTAGACCTTAGTATAAGACATTCATAAAATGTTTGGATCACAAAATTTTAGGAATTAGAGGCGTTCCATTGGAATGGTTCCAAATCTGTCTAATAGAACACACATTGTAAAATATAATGAATCTGACTCTGAATTGCTATTAATGAAGCAAGGTGTTCCTCAAGGTAGTATCTTGGGCCCGTTACTATTTTTGCTCTTCATAAACGACATTTTTGAGTCTTCAAGGAAATTACATTTTACAGTACTGTATGCCGATGACACAAACATCTTCTATTCTGGTAAAAATTTGAATCACTTAATTTTCGAAGCCAATGCCAACTTCAAAAGGTTTGGTTTTCCGCAAATAAATTAAAAAAATAATCAGACCAAAACAAACTTCATGATATTTAACTATGACAACAAAAATGATAGTATAATTGAAAAGGTTAATCTGACAATAGATGGTAACTGTATTGACCAGGTACAATTTGCAAATTGCTTAGGAGTTGCCATTGACAAAACTCACATGGGAAAATTAATTTCCAAGAAGGTTCGATCTCAAGTCGGCGTTATGAGTAAGCTAAGAAGTTTTCTACCATCCTCTACTATGCTTTCTTTATAATATACACTTGTATATACCTATACCCAACGTATTTAACCAAGGAGGATATTACCTCTTTGTTTTAACTTAGTGTGGGCGAGAACGTGTAATAAATTATTAAAGCCCCTCATCATACTCCAAAAGCGGGCTGTTCGGTTGTGATGCAACGCTCCCTTCATGCAGGGCGCACACTTCTCCATTGTTTAAATCCTTAAAATTACTCAAACTTCCAGATATTCTTTCTCAAGGTACTTCATTATTTATGTACAAACTTAAAAATGGTATGTTACCAGTAACATTTTATGGCAGTTTTCTTTTGAACTCGGATGTCCACTCATTTAATACAAGAAAAATAATGACTTCCATCTACCAAAATTCACTAACTCATTTTTGCAAAATAAATCAATGAGATATAAAGGTCCTCATAAATGGAACTCCATGTTATTGTTAAGTAATTTGAAGTGTGTTAGGAACCACAACACATTTAAACTTAAAAGAACAATACTTGCCACTTATTGATTTATTGAAATACATAATTGATTCACATATTTTGTTAGTATGTGACATTATTAGTATTGTTTTGTGTCGTATTTCATCGTATTGTAATGTATTGTATCTGTATTTTTTAAGCTTTGGGTTTGCTTGTTTACAAGTTTTTAACTTATTTTAGCAATCCCCGTATTTGTAATGATTTCATTTTGATTTTTATCTTTTGCCGAATAAATGTGAATTGAATCCCCCTGAGGGGTGGGCCGATGCCGGAGGTACTGCAATATCGGGCCAACCCGAGAAGCAAGCCCTTATTCCATAGCCTAGATACAAAAATCACAAGCGACTCGGACCATGCAGATACTTTTTTTCAATTTTATTGTATACCAAAACTATATAAATATTTACAATAACATAAAAATATAAAGGTGAAAGTAGAAAACGAGTTGTACTTTACATAATTCCTAGAGGGAAAAATATTATTGTCGGTGTTATTTATAGAAAACCTCAATCAAAAGTTATGGATTTCAATAAACACCTTCAGTCTTGTTTAGAAAAATTGAATATCGAACATAAACATGATTATATAATGGGAGATCTTAATATTAATCTACTGAATCATGATAATGCTTCTGTGAATGAATTTTTGAGTGCAATACATTTGAATAGCTTTGTGCCCTTAATTGATAAGCCAACGCGTGTTACAGAGACATCCTCATCTTTAATTGATAATATTCTTACTAATAACTATGGATCAAATGTGCTTTCTGGCTTATTTTACAATGATATTACAGATCATTTCCCAGTTTTTCAAATAACCCACTTTAAATTTCATGCACAATGTACTCCTACTCGTAAATTTCGTCGTATAAATGAAAGTACTATTAGAGCTTTTGAAGAAAAGGTGTATAATGTTGATTGGAGTGATGTATTTAACTGTACAGATACTGATGAAGTTTATAATATGTTTATAGATATGTTATCCAAAGTTTACGATGATGTATTTGTAATGGGAGACAGTAAGACCACAAGAAAAATTATTAAAAAGCCATGGATAACTGTAAGCATATTAAAAAAGATAAGATTAAAAAATAAATTGTTTAAGAAGTATAGGAAAAATTGTACTGATGACAATAAGAAAAGATATGTCAAGGTCAGGAATAATGTTACTAAAATATTACGTTGTGCACGCATAAACTATTATAAACTTAAATTTCAGCTCTTTAAAGGAAATATGAAAAAAACATGGAATATGATAAATGAATTACTTGGAAAATGTAAGAAGAATTTACCATCATATGTTACTATAAATGGAATAGATGTACATGATGAAAAGGATATTGCTAATAACTTTAATACATATTTTGTAAATATAGGAGCCTCTATGGCTAATTCTATACAACAAGATGATAACTTTGTTGATTTTTTATCTGGAAGATGTAACAACACCATATTTTTAAAACCTGTTAAAGAAACTGAAATATTGGAAATTACTAAAAATATGAACTCATCAAGTAGTAGTGGCATTGATGACATTAGTCCCCTTGTTGTGAAAAAAATTATTTATGGTATTGTGAAGCCTTTATGCTTCATTTACAACCTATCATTTTCATCTGGAATAGTACCCTTGAAATTAAAAACAGCAAAAGTTACACCTGTCTACAAAAAAAAAGATATCCATGATATTTCAAATTATAGACCAATATCTGTTCTTCCCGTCTTTTCTAAGATATTAGAAAGGCTGGCTTATAATAGGATTTTTGATTTTTTTGTATAAAAATACTATATTAAATGAATTTCAATATGGTTTTATGAAAAATGTTTCTACTGAAATGGCACTTATTGACTTACATGATTATGTTGTTAATTCTTTTGCAAATAAATTATATACAGTTGGTGTTTTTCTCGACCTGAGTAAGGCATTCGATTCAATTGATTACTCAATATTGTTACATAAATTAAGTTATTACGGTATTAGAGGACTACCTTATTCATGGTTTAAAAGTTATTTACATAATCGAACTCAAGTTGTGTCTTACAACAATGTCATTTCAGATTCTTCTAATATTTCATTTGGTGTTCCTCAAGGATCGATTCTAGGTCCTTTGTTATTTCTATTGTTTATCAACGACCTCCCAAATTGTTCTAAAATATTAAAATTTATATTGTTTGCTGATGACACCAATATCTTATACTCAACAGATGATCATTTATCATTGTCAACTAATTTAAATAACGAACTACTAAAGGTCTCTAAATGGTTTAATGCCAATAAACTTACATTAAATATAGATAAATCAAATTATATGTTATTTTATACTGTGAAACAGAAACAAAAGTATAGTACTTTGCAAAACTTAGTTGTGAAACTCAATAATTCATCAATTGAACGTGTATATTGTACAAAATTTCTGGGTGTTTACATTGATCATGATTTATCATGGAAGACTCACATCTCTTATGTCAGAAAGAAGTTATCACAGAATATCGGTGTCATCAGCAAATTATGCCATATCCTACCAAAATGCATTCTTATAACATTGTATAATACTTTAGTCCTGCCCTACTTATCATACTCTAATGTTGTATGGGCTAATACATATTCTTCCAAATTGGAAGCCATTTTTATATTACAAAAGAGATTTGTTAGAATTGCCTCATCATCTTCATACTTGGCACATACTAAACCCTTATTCATAAAGTTAAGCATACTGAACATTTATAAATTAAATAATTATTTTAATGCAATACTACTTTTTAAACACAAGCTTGGTTTATTACCCAATAATTTATGCATTATGTTAACTTTAAACTGTTCAGTTCATAATTATAATACTCGAAACAAAATGAATTATTATTTATCTGCTATTACAAAACAATATGAATTACACTCTTTTAGACACAAAGCTCCTTCTGTATGGAATTCCTTACCGTCAGACATTACTTCTATTAATAGCCTGAACTCATTTAAAAGAAAGCTTAAATTATATCTCATTTCTAATAATCTTACATCATAAAAACACTCAATTACTCCACAATGCAAATTTGTTTGGGTTGTGCGGTCTACATGTATGTTTTTGTTTTTGCTTATGTTCTACTTTGATTTGTTTTGTTTTGTTATTTTTTGTTATTGTTTATTCAAATACCATATATCATTTGTATGATTCCTATACTGTTTTTTTTTTTCA